TTACATATCCTTGCTCTTCTAGTCTTACACGGAATTTAGATTGACAATTACGGAATTTAGACCTTAAACATAAGATATTAGTTAAAGATCTTACGATTTTTGCCTCACTTTCAAACCTTCCGATTTCCGTTTGTGACCAAACGTACAATTAAACGATACAAACAGGTATTTGAACCTGACATCCTTCAGCAATCTGCTTTCTGTGTGAATGTAACGAGTATAAGTAGTCTGAGAAGCGATAAAATTATAGTTGATACTTTTTGGAACTCTTTTAAGGTGCTTTCAAAATCATCCCACAACACGAAACGCTTGTTCAGTATCATACTTCGAAAGGCATCGGTTAAGTCGACTGAAATGTCACTTGAGGATGAAGCACTAAAAACAGACATTACTAATTATTAAACAGTTATTCCTTGCAACAATAATAACCCAAGGAAATACTACAAATACTTGAGATTTACCTGTGACTTGACATTTCGTTTAGCTTTACTACAATTGTTGGGATCAAAGATCAAATTACAAAGCAACAACAGAGCCAAAGTGCACACTACAAAACAGAGAACGCTAAATTAATGGTTTTGCTATTTATTTCGTGCTTTTTATGTAGCATAGGATGACTTATATATGAAAAAACTTGATACTCATGCAAACCAAACAACCCACGGCAACTTAAATACGGAATGACCGCCTCTAATCAAGCCGTTCAAGGTCGTTGAAACGAAAGAGCGGGCACATTTCAAAAGGACCTAACGTTTAAACCGTGCCCACTTAAGGAGCCTGTGCTTGAGGACACAAATCTGATGAGAGTGTGTAGGACTGTCGATTTTATGGCGGTGATCAGTTTCATCATATCGTCGCTAGTGTTGATGCGTATCCAATCGATACCTATGCTGACAAAGACCCTCCACTTTACTTTGCTGCGAGTCTTTGTTTATTTGTCCGTTTCAAGACTGCCTTGTTACAGGGTTGCCGACATTTTTTTTCTCAGGATTGTCAAGAGAATGATGATGTTGCTTAGCAAATCCACAGCACTTATGTTGCATGTGCCGCGTACCTACTTGCGATCTGACTTACCAAGTCTGTTGTAAGCAGTTACTGGAAGGTCTGTGCACCCTCTGTGAAAAGAGCCTTCGCATTTCTCACACTGCATACAATAGTTGATAGCAAAAAGGCATTCAGGTCGCTTACAATTGTTCTCAGTGATCATAGTGAAATGCAGGTTGTTAACGAGACTGGAATAAAATCTCATTATCGCATAAAGAAGTAATGTATTCAAAACGGATTAGACAGATCAAACCAAGTACTATAAACACTTGAAATTTACTGAAACTAAAACTAGCATTTTTACATAAAAATCTGTTTAAACCGAGTAGTGAGTTAAGTCAAGACTACAGTTAACTAATAATTCAAATAAATTTTAGTAGAAAAGTAATCTAGCGAACGTTAAGCTCAGTATAGATTCTTTGTATCAAAAATGGTGCTCTCGTTGTGTAAGGACACAGAAAACGTTTGAGAAATACAAGTCACGTTAAGATAATATCTCTTGTTCGAAAAGCTTGCTTTGGTGGTCCATAGTCTTTGCTTATCTCACTTACTAGTAAATTAGTGTTTTTAGAATTAATGTTTCTCAAAATAAGATTCAACATAATGTTTCGAGCAAGGTACAGTAACTAACTGAACATTCACTCTGTCATATCCGTTGTTGTATGCTCATATGCAAATATGGAGAAAATACTTTTGGCTGATTTTCTTAAGACTAGCCCACACAGATATACAAAATTAAAGGCACGTTAAACAAGCATGAAAGAGTTGTGCCGAAATGCAAGCAGGCAAGCTAGCGAGTGAACGAGTGAGTCAGCGAATATGAGTACGAGTAAGCGAGTACAATTAAGCGAGAGAGAGCAGCGAATATGAATAACATGGACATATATATACATAAATAAATGAATGAATCATCGAATCAATTTAGCGGTTAGTAGTAGGACTAGCACCGTGAATAAATGTGTAGGCAGTAAGCAATGCCTAAGCATACATATTCATACATTCGCAACAATAATAAAGATACAATGATATAGATAAGTTGTTGTTGCACGGATGACTCAGTTCGTTAGTAAGTTAACAAAATTACTTAACCGAATTAAATGTGAAGAAACTCAATTGCATGCGAGTTTCTATAGGTTATATTAATTGAAAAGATTACTACTCAGTATCTCTCTTGGGTATGTAGCGTGGAGTCGAGTCGAGATTAACTATGTACACCACTACCAAGAAACGCTTGCCAAGTAAATCCACAAAGTTCCGCGGAAGCCAAATATCAAAAGGTAGTTAATGGACCAAGTCGCGATCTCGTGGTATCGAAAGGATACCGAAATCGTGCCTGGATACAAGCTTGGTTACAGAACGTAACCGAATTCGCGCGAAGTCACAATCAAAGTGTGCGAATAATGGATGCTTTTAGCACAGTTAAACAGACACTGGTACAGTTGGTTATAATAATAATTGTTTTTATCAAACCAGTCGTGTTCTTGTGATAAATGTGAGTCACTACAGGTATCTTCTTGTGATGATTAGAAGTATTTGAATTATTGTACGAATGAGGAATTCCCGAAATAGCGCGATTCACAGCAGATAGAATTCGAAATCAGGCAGTCATCAAGTACAAAGGAATCACTAGTTCATACAAACACTACACTTCTGCAATATTTTAAATTTTTTTACGTCATTATACGCACCTTATTGGTTATTACCGTCTTTATAATTATCGAATTCGGGAGTGCGTGACTGAAATTTCGTCCTTGCAACAAGGGCGCTAAAGCAGTCGGATTTCATATCCCTGTTATACTTCGATTTATGATACCACTTTATGCCAACTTCGTCTTTCCTCCAAGACAACCTATTGCAAATAGATTCAAACTTATACTATGACCACGTTATTAATAAATGATAAGTATAAATGATCAAGACAAGGTTTATTTTTGCATCGAATCATTTCACGTTCTCTTTTAATATCTTCGACATTGACTAGCGCGTTTCTCACCTTTTACTTTGGTCTTCGCTAGATTGATCCTGACCATTTCTCCTTCGCTACAATTTACAGGTCAGAAATCTTTGCTCTCTTAATTTAGCCGTACACCCTTGAATGACAGTTTAACCCAGAGAAAGTTAGACAAGTCGGAAAAACTGATTAAGCATATCACAGTTTCTTCAAACACAAATAAGTCCTCTTTTTGAATGTCTATAGCTATTTGTCCTGCTGTCCGACTGTTTTTCTTTACATTTCCTACCAGTATCATCACGTTTGTTCGCAGCCATGAAACTCTCTCACAAACGTAGGTCAAATGCTAACTTGAATGGTGATCAGGCTCGCAGTTCCTACTTTTCGCGTTATTTATTGCCTTATATTAGTCATGATCGTGAAGTTCAGTTATATGCCGTAAATCTATCTGATACCTGTTACATCCTACAACCAACCAATATACGTAGACGACCTGAAGTAACGGTTTAGAAAACTGACACTCTATGCCTGACGGCTGGTCCAATACTAACTGGCCCCGAACGAAGAGGAAAAGCACAAGATCAATGTCCACAAGTTCGAGATCATAATTATATTTCAGACATTTATTTATATAAAAACAAAACTAGACCACATAGCAGACCAAGTAGTTAACAGTATTAACACCGAACAACAACATTAACGATGGGAAAACCAATAGTTGGTACACAATTGTTTCTAGTGTATGAGTGGAAAATGCTAAAGCAACAAATTACGGTTTAAGTAAAAGCTTAGAACTGGGGTAATATGAAAAAGACCAAAACACTTGATAAATATATACATATATATGAAATTATAGAAAATAACTCGGAAAGCTTTTAACTCACAGTTAAATCGTCTTATACAACAATACCTGATTGGAGTAGGTTGGAAGAAAGCTAGGGGCGGCCAGACCATGGCATGGCATAAATCCACGAAGTCACTGACAAGTGGACTGAGCCATGTTGGTAGGTGCAGACTACCTGGTTGGGGACCGTGGGATGATAGCGACCGGTGGTTAGAGACCTTGAATGATATGGCTCAACATCGTTTGCAGTGGCTCAGGTTCATCCACTCTTTGTGTTCTCCCAAATTCTTGAATTCCCCCTGTCTCTCTTTCCAAATTTATTTCACTGGATTATACTCCTTGAATAACATCTTCAAAGCGTAATCTTTCCGATTACTGCTCATACTCTTACTACCTCTACCACTACAGGATCTGAGACGACAATTGTATCTCTGTGGTAATGTGGTATGACAACTCGGATTGATGTACGTAAATACGAAGTTACACGTTTTTACTGACTAACCTGATTGGAATATTTTCATGGGCTTCCCATGAAAAAGTTTGCTAAGTATGTATGTATGTTTGCTAAGTCATATCGCCTAAGTTTGTGAAATAATTATCATTGTTCATACCTATAGTAAGAAGTGACATTCAAGAATTTATGTCACTCACTCAGCGGATTATATTATTATATTCGCGTTATGACATTCACAAACCACTGGAATAATTCCCCCTCTTAAAGCGAGCTTATCCAGTTTTTGCATGTCGCTTCGTTTGATATTGCCATTGTATTTTTCTCCACGCATTTTTATTTTTAATATCATTTCCTATTGTATGCTTGTGAATGCCTTTAATTTTGATTAGGCCGATCGCCTTTATTATGCTTGAGTCATCTATTACCGAGATGGTTCTATGAGACTAATTATTCACTAACATACATTTTTGTGACTATATTGTTATTCCGCACTGGATATTTCCTACATACTCACTAGCTACTCGCCCACCGAACATTCTGGAACCTACTTAATAAATTGACCGTCCAGTGACACGTGCATGTTCATTTAATCGCTAGCCTAAGCAATAGAGCGAACCTCATGAACGGTGATAATAGCATGGTCGCAACTACTTCAAAGTTGATAGTGGTTAACATTATCATAGAAATAAGTTTGGATTTTATGTTTTATGACTTTCTTCGTTCTAATTTGTTTTGTTTTCCAACACTATGCTTCAATATGTGACAACTTTCAGACACCATATCACTTAAGAATTTGTATCATTAGATCCACCCAGGTAGCTACCTACTATTATGGTGAAACTAATTAATAATTAACAAAACAATATTATACACAGTTTCTCCCCCATCCAAAAGTTATTTTCTTTTCGAATGTATCAATTGATGATCTTAACACATTGAAAATCGGAATCGAGATTTTTTTTTTAAAAAAATAGATAAGTTGATGGGGAAAAGTTTGAAACAGTATGTCTATATGTATGCATACTGATTATCACGTAAATTGTTTCACAAAATAAGATATTAAAATGTTATTACTCAAAGTATAAATAAAATCAATTCTGTACGATGAATAAAAGATATAAAAAGAAATTCCGAAAGCTTTGTAAATGATTAGAAAACAAAGGTCAAGAATAGATAAACAAATATTGGAACAATAACTTTTAGCAGGAAATCTTATTTCTTTCCGTAAACTTTGACGGAAGTATGTATGCTGAAAAATATTAAATTATTTGATAATAATGGTCATATTGAACGAATCATTATATAAATATCTCAAAAATAACTTGTAAAACAAGTGAATTTCTACATAAAAATATATCCTATTGCAACAATGAAGCTAACAGTTCAATCCGTTCGTAAACTCGACGTAAATAAGTTTGAGTTTCAACAATCATTAGTAAAAGTTCTTTACTATCAGTAGAATCAAGACTAATATCAGTTGATAATGGAGGATTTAATCGAAAAAACGGTACTGCAAGTGAACCACACCATGCACTAGCACGATCAACGACTCGACCTAAATGTTAAAAATTACAGAATAAATTTTTCAATTAAAATGTTTATATAATAAACAATATGGAAATACAAATGAATATATTTGTAAAATCCTAATGAGTAGTAAAATTAAATTTTCTGAAATACACTTAAACTAAGCAAACTGATGTATTGAACTAGATTGAGAGAACTACCAGTTAGTTTAAAGTCAGATATGTGAAGATACTACAAACTTCTTTCGCTTCCAACTACGCCCATTTGGCTTACGAAATAAACCTTGTGGAAAACATTTATTGGAAGAAATCAAAGGACGTTGATTCAAACAAACACCAAACGCATGTAAATATGTTTATAATGATCATAAAAATAAAATGAAAAATCCGCATACTAAAAAAATAAAAGATCAATAGGAAAGTAGTATTGCTAGTCTTGGTAAGAATGAAGGATCTCTGCCGTGAGGAAAATTTCGGTGTGCAAAAAAATAGAAACTGAAATTTAAAAATGTAAACATGACAAGTGGTTTTTCAGGGCTGTAACATCCTTGACACAAGCAGATAAAGTACAGTAAAATATTACAGATTACTTAGATAAATTCAAGTTATCCAATGTCTAATTATTTAAGATTAACTTCGTACTCTTTATTGCAGTTATTATGTTACGGACTACATTTGATTGAAGTGTAATAAAAAATGATTTAAATATATTATAAATAAGCCTGTAAAGATAAGGTCACGTAATAGTGTGTATCAGTCTCTCAAATGAATTCCCCATACAATTCAAGTCTAAATGGATCCTACGAGATGGAATAAATTTATGTCACAATTAGTGGTTTTAAAGTGTATATTTCCACCGTTTCCAACCACTGATTTATAAGATAATCATGATCCATCATCCATATGAGGTTGTAAAGACTGTTGATTTTCATTGAAATCATGAACCGATCACAGATAACAGTTGAAAACATGGAAGCAATAGACGTTTCGTGATTTCATTGAAACTCGACAATCTTCAAAACATCATAACGGCAATTATCATGTGCTTCAGAGAAAATTTCCGGAGTTCTAATGAGAAACCGCCATCAGTGGAGCTAAATCGTGTCGGGTTCGAAGACGTTACCCACCGAAAACAGTGAATGATGGCCGCACAATATCATGAATTGGTTGACGTTGGACATTAATATCGATGGATGCCGGACCAGTGGTTTAGAGGTTAGGCATTCGCGTACAAAACCGAAGATCTTGAGTTTAATTACCACATACGGGGTGTGGATGGGCACCACTGAGGAGTTCCACGATGGGATGAGACGGCCGTCTAGTTCTTCCAGATCTTTAGTAGTTGTAAAACTTGTATCGGTTCATGATTTCCATGAAATTTACGATCCATTTCCGCCAAAACCCAAATAATACTCAAATTAACGGTTAGTGACAGTATAAATTAGCTTCATGTCTTTGGTTGCTGTAAGGTTTTTTTTACGTCGATATCTGCTGGTTGGGAGAATATCGAGTTGACATGTCTGAGTTTCCAATAAGTAATAAGACATTACTACTGAAACATAAGCAAGCTTAAATCATTTTAGGATTAGACCTGAGATATTTAAGCTTTTCAACACCATAGCTACCATTGATTTATCAGCTTAGAAACCAATAACCAAAAGTTTCAACCCTGAATAAAATTGGATATAAAGACATCAAGTGTTAGAGATTGAAAACATTGACGATGAAATTGCTGTCGTGACAACTGAATGCATTGACTTCGGTAGTAAAAGTAAGACGGACTATGCACTACTTTAAATCAGCCAGCCACAAGAAGATATGGTGAATTCTTATTACTTTTCAAACGATTCCAATACTTCCATTATTATCAATACTATTTATTATTTGGACACAAATATTGGTACAAAGGGGTACCGAATATATATACGCCACACAAGTCACTTGATTTGTGTGTGGGCTGTGATACTGCCAGGGTGCTCAAACCGAAGTAAGTGGTTTTCTTAGGGAGTCACACCCGGAGCCTTCGACCTAAATGTCTTATCCACAAGGCAGTGGAGCAAAGCAAGGAGATGCAGTTCCATGGTAGCCGGTGGCTAATAATTGGTTCATACGCAATTTGTTCTCTGAATCCTGGAGCTCATGTGCACCATTGGTTTGGAATTAGGATTTTCCAACTTGTCTAGGTGGATTCTCCATATTCACCGACCCGGTTAAGGCACTGGACATTTGCTCTTCGTCCTCTCAATTAGATAAACAACAGTAATGCCAAGAGAAGGCAGTGAGTAGGACTTCCCTGGCAGTGGTTGTATACACGTGGCTATGTGAGAGCTAAATATCCCTACCCTCAGCCGTACTAGGGCATTTGGGGGCCCGATGCTTTCAAACCAAATTTACTCAGTATAACCATGCAAATAATAATAATAAACTAAACTAAGCTCGACAAGTATTTAGTCTTAAACGGATTTTAAGAGTTAATAAGTAACAACATTCTTGGATGAATAGGTTTCTCATAAAGTCACAAATGAGTTGAAAATCCTGAATCAGTAAATAAAAGATCATGAATATGAGCTCCTGAACATTTCGAGACGTAAGATTTATTTCTTGCAAACTGATCAAAGAAATAATACGACAGTCATCATACTTTTTAGTAGCTCTTTTTTATTATGAATAATAAACATTTATAGTTTACGGTCAAAATGAAATTTATTTGACTCTTCTTCAGCCTCCATATTTTACCATACAGCTAAATGATTTTATCAACAACCAGTTAGGAATTGTCACAAAACTACTGTCTGGTAAATTGCTATTCGAGTAAGTGGTAGAGTGGACGAGTATAGCCCAGTGGTATATACACATATAGCCCTATCCTATTGTGAAGTAGGTGGAACAGATTTAGAACGTGTGGTTTATTGATTAAACCCTCGGGAGCTTAAACAAACGAATTACACATCTAAAACTACCACCCGCTAATTTTCTTTGCCTACCCTTTTGTGGGTGATTTGTTTGTATCGCTTTTTATTTTGATGCACCATTATTTACTGTTAATTAACTATGTCATAGTTACTAGTTTCACATGAAATTTGATTTTTTTTCAAGCTTTCGAACAACTCACCATCTGACATGGTTGCAATTTCAACCAGAATACGACCAAGAAATCCGAAACCACGTACAGATCGATATGTTTCCATAATATTTTGGGGACGAAATACATCCACTGTCTCTACAGGCATAACAGGCAACCGTCCAGTCCCAAGAGAAACAACCACTGCTATAGGAGTTATAGGTTTATTCTAAAATGTTAAAAGAATGAGTCTTACTTTAAAATATATGATAATTACTAAACGTTTTGAGTAGTAAAAGACCCACACTTTTATTTTTAGCAGTAACAGTGTGGATTATATGTTGTAATTGATAAACTGTTTAAGCTGAACAAACTTCTTAGTTAGTTCATACAGTCATATCCTTTGAATAGTCTGCGAAATAAGATCTTGGACTGTGAAGCCGTCCGGAAAATGTTTAAACCTCATGAGGAGTTTCAGCTTCTTTGAGACTGCAGTCATGGGTTGTTGACAAGTCTTTTCCCATTTGCAATTCAGTACATTTGGAAAGCCAGTTTTTAAGTCGATTTATTACTATGGTTCACACACAGTCTTGTTAATTCACCTACCCTAACTTACCACAGTAACCCTATCCATCACTTCGTCCCTTAACACTCACTATTCGCAATACATAAGTACTTCAATTTATCATCGCATTCAGAGTTGATTAACCCAACTAATTGCAGCAAAGCTATTCTAAGCTAGAAATATAGATTAATGTTTCTTTTGATTATGTATCTTTAACTAAGAGAAAGCTCAGGATAATCAGGGAGAAACAAACTATCGGTCGATAAAACTCAATAGTGAGATCCCTAAACGATGTTAAACAATTTGGATATGGATACATATATATGCATAGACTGATTGATGTGCAGCTTGTCTTGTTCTTCTGCTTTTTTTTATTTCTCATTACTAGATTATGTTAACAGACTATCAGACCAGTGTCAAAATTGTTATTGTCTGGGTAATGTCATATTTTTTCATTATTATAGAATATAATATATGACTTAATATTCTGTAATTTATAAAAATTCCACACAAGTTTAAATAAATGACTTACTTTTAAACGTTGTAAAAGTTGTAATTCTTGAATTTCTGTTAAAATATCTAGTGTTGGATTATTTGAAATTAATCCACCATCCAAAAAACGCCCACAAGGTCTAAAATATGTCGGTGCAGCGCTTGAAGCCCTAGCAGCTTTCCAAATTGGCTAAATAATAGTTAAAATAATAAGTGAATTAAAAACAAAATAGCAAGAAGTATTATTAGTGTTCTATGAAATTATTCAACACACAAGTAATAATATCTGGACAATAGATGGTAAAGTATTAAACTGGTCAACATTAATGATCAGTTAAAAGAGTTCAAAATCGTTTAAATCAAAATTAAATGCTTATGAAAAAAAAACTGATTCTTAAGTGAAGTATAAATTTATACATAAGAATTTAATTTAAGATGTCTTGAAGTATAGCTATTCAAACCTGAAAAGTCTTCAAACAACTAACAGAATATCAGACAAATAATATTACTTTACAGAAATGGCTCTTTATAATACTTTTTTATGAACTGAACTTTTAGTCACTATCCATCTAAATAATAGGAATATTGCTCAGTTTCCTAAACCAGAATAGATGAAATAGGAATTCGAACCTATGACCTACTAGTTTAAAGCTAAATGTTTTAACACTTAAGTCATCGTTCCATTAAATGACTAAAATATTTCATAGGAAAATTATTTACAGTTTTTTAAAATCTGATTTCATTATATTTATTTCTGCATGACAACGTATCTTTATCATTTTGAAATGATCAAAATTCTTGCCATTATTTGCTTTTTTATAATTACGAAATAGAAAAACTTACATGTTCATTATCTTTAGGCAGTTGTTCAAACGGATTATTTAATTCAGTGTCAGATGTTGAAAGGTTGGTACTTGTTTCACTACCTATTAACAATCCCTGAGCATTTGAGAAAAAATTTAAAATAGATTGAGAAGTTGAAAGTGTTGATGATTTTGTAGATTGATTTTCACGATCAAGCTCAAGGGCGGAAGTAGACTGACGATGAGTTAATCCGCTGTTTCTTCTGTTTGTTCGTTGATACACAGAAGACTTTAATCCAGATTGACGTGTCTCTAAAATTTGTTGTATTCGAGTACGGGGAGATTTATAATTTCTGAACATATGCAATATTGGTGGACATCGATCACTGACAAGTGTAGTTACAGCAACTCTAATATTTTTAGAACGAATAAATATATGCAAATTACTTGAAGAAACTATTTCGATGCAGAACAACTTAACGAAAAACAATGCTACCTGTTTTATTGAGAAATTAATGCTTGGTTTGTCTAAAAACATCCAAATGAGATTAGTAAGAGATATTAAACCAAACAGTAACGTATTTCAATGTATTATAAGTTCATGACATATCTGATCACAGAACTGAAAAATAATTCTACAGAGAGGTTGTAAAATTACTAGCTTATTAAACAGCTTACTTTTAGTTATAAAACAATAATATATTTATGATCATTGTCTAGTGGAGTTTAATCTGTATCGGGTGTGAGACAGTTATTTAATCTCATATCTTTCAATTCTCTATGAAATTGTAAATTTAAAACAATTACATCAAATTTCAATAAGATTACCGTCTGATTACACTTTTTGTCAACTGATTTACAAACTGTCCTTGGTACAATTGCTAATACACAGCTTTAACAGTTCATCTACTTCATAGATAACAATTTATTCGTGTCCACAATGGTTGACTGAATCATGAAATCTCTTTCGTGCATATTTCACGACTAGATAAACTGAATTTGTATTTTTTTGAACAACTACACTAAATCTCAAGGGAATTAACTGTTTAGATAGAATTATTAAATAAACAGGATAGTTCTGCCAAAGATCTAATCAAATAAAAATTAATTGCCATTATAGAATGAATACAACTAGATACGAAACTAGACAGTGTTGATTATCTATCACATTCGTGAGTACATCTCACTAAAATGAATAGAAAATAGCATACGAAATCAAATTTAGGGCCTATTGGTAAATTATAAACAAGCAAAGTGAAGGTAAGAACAGATGGAATAGTAATTGTATTATTTCTCCAACTGATCAGAGAGTTCCAAGATGTAACCAACTGGAATATGTTCAAATAACTAAGCAGTATTGTGTTTGATCTGAGTGATGGAAGTTCTAGCCAAGACCATATATAAAGTCGTTTGTCATCCACAACTCCAGGGTAGTATTAACTCTATATGCATTAATCTTATAATTTATAAATGATTGTGCTAATTACAGAAAAAATTAAATTGTTCGTATAGATTTGTTTTCAAGTAAAAGAAGCACATATTAACTGACTGAGTATATGTGAATATTTATGATGAAATCAAAATGATCATTTTTATAAGCAAAAAAACTTCATTAAAATAATACAGTCTATGAGTGGTTTATTTGTTAATTAACAAACGAATACAATAAAGGTTATAAAAAATACAGTCATTGTAATAGTTTTGTACTGATTCCAGTCTATACACTACTTTTATTCTGACCCGGTGTTCGTTTCTATCAATCTTAGCTAAAATATGGTTTTTAAAAAAAGTCAATACTATCAATTAAACCGATAAAAGCACAGCGTATTTATTACCTGACTGTTTTTAAATCAGTCATTACAGTATTATCACCGAATTCATCACGCATTAACATTTCTAATGGTTCCGGTGGATATGGTCGTTTACCACAGAAGACAAGATTTTTAAATCGAAATAATAATGTACGACAACAATGTAAACATTTGCCAGATACTAGAAATAGTGATATCGCTGCACCAGTTGAAGTACCTATAAGATAAATTACATAAATAAATAAACATAAAATGACAAACACACAGCAAACAAGTTGTGACGACTTTTGGATTGCATACTACATAACAACTTTACAACAATGACTTGCGTATTTTAATGTACAAAATATGTATCTGAGCACAAGTAGAACACTGCACCTTTATGTTCTGAGCAGTGTTAACAAAAACGATAAACGTACGTTGGGATTTGTCAAGAGGCGATGTAAAGTTTACATTCTTGGGGATAATTATACTTCAAACTGAAAATCCAGATGCATTAGGCTTGAAACTGACTTCATATGGAAGCCGAATGTAATCGTTTCTTCAAAATGCCAAAAAACTAACTCTTCCAGCCACTGCTGCGATCCAAAATGTCGAAACACCCAATTTCAGCACTTGTATCTCTACATTGAAAGTGAAAATGTTTCATTCTAAGTCTTCTCTCTGTATCAATGACTATACAAGTTAACTTCCAAGACTTTGGAATAGTTTGCCACCAAACTGTACATGAAATAACATCACTAGCGACATTTGTTCGAGAAATTTATGGTTACCTCTTCCTCTCCGAAACTCATTTAAAAATGAGTCTGTGACTGTAGCCCATTCTACAAGTGAAATTATAGAGATATTAAAAGTTTGAACACTGTTTTTACTGGGCATACTTACTAAGTTTACCTTCTTGCAGGTATTTTACATCTACTCTATCCACAGTTAATTTAATTAACTCAAATAGTATCTATCCAAATCAGAAGGTCATGAAACGACTTGGCACTCGTATAACGGCAGACCTGTAACAGTAATTTTATTGCTATTATTCTGTGTTTTCTATTCTCTAGTTGCAATTACTCTTTAATGGCACTAGAGATAATCTTAGTCCCTCTACTAGTATGTTTGAAGAGATTACGAGTTCACCTAAAAATCAGCGAACGCAAAGAAGGATCAGTGATGCAGTGACAGGACAGCTAAACTACTCCATTGAGTCCCATCTCTGCTAACTAGAGGGAGAAGTTCAGGTTCAAATGAGGAAAAGTGTATTCCACAAGTAGCCAGAAGCACGAACAAAAACAAACACATAGCTCAAGCGTATATATAGCATAAAAATGTCATTGGGGGAACGTCGCAAAATTGCATATTAAAAGAGACAACGAACCAATGACATTTAGGGTCATTTCAAGTCGGAAATACAAACTGAAGGTAAAAATGAAAGCTTATGGCGTGAAAACTAGAAGTTCTAATTTCCAAAAATAACATGTTTACCAAGTGATTTCTGGGGATCTAGCATCCCCAACACCTACTAAGAGTTAATGGTTTCACTCTGCTTCCTCCTTGTAAAGAATTTACCGAAACTATTTATGAACTACATTATTTCAGACAATTTAACCATGTAACATTGCTTTATGTATCACCCAAATCATGCCTGTAAACTTAGTACGCATTCTGGAATAATGTAAGAAAATAATACTTTATTTATCTACTTAAATGGCATCAAATGTTGTTAAGTGGTTAGAGGTAATCGGTAAGAAAACTTTAATGTAAATTTCGTCATAGTAAGCATTCATTAATAAGGCACACACTTTTGCAATCATGCATGGAATGTTGCTCTCTGTACAATTAGGATTCGCGTCATTCAGTGACATGATAATGATTAACACTAAGCGAGCAATTGGTATCAATAAAAGCATGTGAAATAGTAAGCACATGAAAGTGAAACGAAAACAACACATTTCAATGATAAAATTTTACTATGGCGACTATCATTATTATTATTAAACATAAATCATAAGATGAATATGAATGTACTTTGAAAAACAACAATCTACTAGTGATTAAGATTGTTTAGTTGTAAAACGTAGTTGTTTAAATGACAAACTATTTACTGATGTAAACAGCTTTTATGAGACCGTCCGCGTTCTTTTTCTCAGAGATATGTTCTTAACGGAACAATAGATTATCCGAATAAAATTGATCTGCTAAATTTTAAGCACATTTTTCTATACTAATATGTTAGTGTTTCAAACGAGACTTAAACTTACGATATTTCACTTTACTACATTGTGATTAATTACTCACTGAAGCGTAGAAAACTCTAAATGTGAAAAAAATGTAAACTAGACAGGATGTTATATACTAATTCTTATAAGAAAATACCTTAACTTATGGTGATGTAGACGACGACGACAACAACAACAACAACAACAAAAGATGTGGACAAAAACTAACTGGAAATAACTATAAAAAAATTGGCAGAAAGTAACAATACTGAATAACGGTTCAGTTTAATACACACTCTACATTCACGTGGAAAGATTTAAAAAAAAACTATACTTGCCAATAGTGTTAATAATTCCTATAATCAACTATATATTTTCGTGACAATTTTTTTTAAAGTGCCTCCAAAACTATGGTAATTTTATAACAAAACATTAAATTAATTAAGCAGGAAATTTTTAATTAACAATAAAATGATTGTTTGAATTTATTCTAACAATATTCCTAAAATGTCAAGTAATAATTATAAAGACAAATATTGAAATAATCATATCACTTATGTTACACAATTAAGTGTATGATTTGGAATGGCAAAGTAAATACTTAAAAACTTTAACAAGTTCGTGATACAGCTAGAATATCTTTTGTTTATTAGTTAGTGGGATCTGCTTTGATAATTATTAACATACTAAGTACCGATTAAAAAAATCAGCTGATGAGTTAAGTGAATCACTATCTATTGAAATAGCTGACGTATATATTACAAATACATAAGAACCTCCTGTGTTTAACGTGAACTGTTAGTTAGAGTAGGAGTAAGTTGGAAAAAAAGGGAACGATTAATCCCAAAAATAACATTAGTCCATAAGACATTGAAAATTGAGCTGAGGCACTTAAGGGTTCATGATTCACACGATTATTATGACCAGTGGATGGAGACGTTAGGTGATGTGACTTAGAATCGATCACAGTGACCTGGACGGATCCACTCTTCACTTTCCTTTAGATCTTGAACTGTAATGTCCTTTCTTTTATGACCATATTTTCAATATTAAGTCTTTGTTATTATCATTGCTACAAGATTATTCAGACTTTCTCATTAATCTTACTAAGTTAATTTTGTTATGCTGATGTAAGATAACAACTTTAGCCAACTTGAATCCATATCATACTCTAAGTTGACTATATCTGAAACATCCGTTTCAAATGACCTTTAGGAATCAATAATAATCATAATCAATAAGAAATAAATAAACAAATATTAGTGATGATGGAAAACGTTACCAATGATCCAATCAAATAATTCTGTAATTTTCTTTCCAGATGCTATTTCTAAAGCACGAAGTAATTGTACGATCACTAATCCACGCATACCACCACCATCAAGTGATAGAACACGGAGGCCATTAGGTCCAACTTTCCACTTTTTGGATTTCTTAACACCATGTTGATTACCGGTAAAATTACAATGATTATGATCATCATCATCTGTATTTAAGTCAGATAGTTGATTATGATTGGTGAATTTGTCCAAATCATCTCCCTTATTTCTAGATATATCAGCAATATTAGTGTTTGCAGGAATAGTGTCAAAAGTACTAGCAGTAGCACAATTTGTTGTTGTTATTATTGATGATGTGCCTGAATCCATAGGTATTCCATTACGCTTAACGAACGCTGAAGGATCACAATTACATTTTGTAGGCCTGAAATTACATGTTGCCTCTACTGGTAAATGTACTTTCCTGGGATTTGTATTGTCAGAGGACTAAATATTGAGTAGTTAACATAAAAAAGTGAAAATATTAAAGAGGAGAACCTCATTGTAGCAACGTGATGTTACAATTATACAAAGAAAAACACAATCAAATAATCATATAGTTTTTTTTCATTTCTGACTATCAATGACATTTATAAGTTCATGATTGATGACATTATTCAGCTAATTTAAACAAACCAGATAAAGAAGGACTTGAACTAGTAATTAAGAGTATAAGAGTAGACTTTTTAATTCAATAAGTCACATACTAATGATTCTCACCGTTATCACATGGTGGTATTGTAACCGGGAGAAAGTGAGTGGACAGCAAACAAAAGTGTAGACACTTTATGATCTGTTCACTAGGACATTCTAACAGTGACATATCTGTTCTGTAAACTAGATAAGCTATGGAAATTATCGTAGATATGGTATTTACAGAGAAAAAATAGGGTGTACTAATCCGAGGTATAGAATTTCAAAGCAAGAGAGTAAGCCAATTGATGTGATTGTGAATATGGAATAAAGTATACAAATGAGTTAAATGTGACACATGCCTGATTATTGCTCAAATAAATACCTGATACTAACTCGAATGAGAACAGGAAGTATGATGGGTTAATGTCATTCGAATAAAATGAATATAAAGTGAAATAACGTCTGATATTCAAATACGCAACTATATATCTAAGTGATTCCATATTTATTAAGGATTACTTTAAATTACTGACATCAAAAATAAAATTTAAATGACATTAAAGATAAAAATAACAAAGAAATAGTGAATCTAAGGAATCAACGAAAAAAACTATTGATAAACTAAGTCTGAACAAAACGTAACAGTAATATCAAGTGATATTTGTCACGAACTGACATTAGCTGCGGTATTATTGGAAAAAAGTGTGCTGGACAGGTGTTTCGTTCTAGCATGAAATCTCTGGTTATTCACCCACGAATTCTGAATGAACGAAAGCAGAACCTGCAAATCTCAAGGCAAGAACTAAAAATATGAGTCACGCAGTTGTAATCCAATGATTCGCATTTTCAACACCGGTTAATCCCCAATCTAGCACAACGATCATAAAATGAAATTGGTAACTACTGTTTGTATCGACAACTCAACTGGCCACAGTTCCTCAAGAGAACTGCCTCAAAATAATGGTCACGCTGACCAATAACGAGGAGTTAGGGTTTTGATTTACTAATGGGATGTGAATACGGTAAAACTAGGAAATGAATTATTACTTACTTGCAAATAGAATATTGAGACAACTTTATTCAAATGTTATAAAGATAGTCTCTGAACATCAATCTATTAAATTTTTCAGGGAGGTTAAAGCCAGTCTAAATGCCTAGTTGGTTCTTTACGTGATATTATTCAAAAACTGGTACAACATTCTTAAAGATATTGAATTCCATGTTAAAAACATCGTGCATATATATACATATATTTCTCGTCCAATTCAAGTATTTATCATAACTCCTCTATCTGTGTCACTGAAGATTATAACAACTAGAGTGATAAGTAAACTTTAATGTGACTAATGATTCAATAACTTTAGGTGTTCAAAATGATTTTTGTTCCACTAGAACTTGACACCTGCTATTGAATCTGTCTTGAGAATTTTATCTTGCTGTGCCAATATGGTATGCGAAATCGAAAAGACGTATATATATGTTATGCTCTACGTTGTATATAACTTAATAGTCTAAAAATCTATAATTATCAATGAAAAGTTGTTAAAATTTGATAAACAATTACGATAAGATTTCAGTTGGGAGTATGACAATCACTGTTTATGAACAGTAAAGATTATTTGAAGTACGTAAACTCGATGTTACAGTAACTGACACACAACCCTAATAATAATTTACGAACATGGAACCGAGAAAGAAAGCAGTATTAGTACAGAAAAAAAAGATATTTACTGAGGAAAAATTGTAACAGAACTCTGTACAAATAGTAACCAAAACATAACCTTGAACCATGTGGAAAATTAGCAAAGAGGTAATAACCAGTCAGAAAAATGCACAGGTTATACGAAGACTTAAATTAAAAAAAGTAATCATGATTATCATTAAAGGCAAGAACTTAACATTTATTGACTAAACTTGACAACCAAGGAATATGCTCTCAGATTTTATAACGTCAAGCTTCAAGTTTTTGTGAAAGTGTAGCGTAAATCCAGTAACCTTGGTTAACAATAATGAAAACCAAATCCCCCCCAAAAAACAATACTACAAGAATGTCTGAAATGATGTAGAAAATTTGCAGTTTAAGTGAATACTTCCAGCGTTCCCGAGTTTTCTTAGCTAGATGGTCAAATCAGGAAGATTTGATTGCCATTATGGAAAATAATATCAGGGATTATTGAGTCTAAAAATTATTTATAGAATCAGGGCATGATATTACGAGATATTATTTCACCGTGTTAGAGTAACTCTACAGACACATATTGCAGAAGACTATTCGAAATTCTGTTGTATTATACAAAAATTTAAATCTGGTATTGCATTAATTAATACTAAAGAATAATTTGATCAGAAGTTTAATCTACTTAGTATGATAAATAGTTAAGCAAAACAATCAAGAGGATATATGTGAAAGTAAATTTTGTGTTTACTATCTGAGAACATAATGAAAGATTTTAACAAAGAAATTCTGCAGTTTTTCACGCTATACAAACATGAGTGAACGATTTATTCATAACATCAAACAATTATCTTTGATGTACTTAAGAAAACCGATTTATCTGAAAGAACAGAGTATTTGCTTATCATCAATTGGATAAAGTTATCAAAAAAATATATTTGATTTTGTAAGCGGAAAAATTACACGAGTAAAACAAGTATTAATTTTAGGATCGATTTCTTCAATTCCCTGTAGTGCAGGAAATAAGCGAGATATAACCTGAATACTTATAGATAACATATGAATGTTATTGGACACCGATATATCCAATGTGTTGAGTTTCGGTCTCAGCTCAATGAAATATATTGCTTTTTAGTCATGGATAGATTCAAGGCGACTTTCCTGTTAGAATAAAATATTAAGGAGTGAGTGTAATGACAAAAATTGTAATAATGGATTATCAACAGAAATGTAAGCCAGACGAACACATAAATGTAGCTAATCATAGACAAAAATGATATTCTTCACTTTAGTGAATAATAATAATCTGATACAGTAGGGAATTATAAGCTAATTAATTATATAGAACAAAGTAATTTTATGTTTAGTAGTAAAATGATGATGGTATGGAAAAAGAAAAAGATTAAAGATAGAATCATATATACCCCGTAAGGTGATCAAATTTATTAATTCGATCCTTAAAATTTAGTAAATTTGCAAAAGTAACAAGAAACGGAAATGACAAATAGTCGTATTGAGAATAGAATTCAAATCTCAGTGAAAATTTAGAAACCACAAGACAGAATTTAAAGACTGTTGGATTTTTTGTGGTCTGATGAACTGACTCCAATTTCGATGAACGTATGAATATGCTATAGACACAAAATTTTCATTTAATTCCGTATATTAACTAGGATAAACCTGTTTGTGTAACGGCGGTTGTAAGAAGTCAAATACGGGTCGCGTTGGATGAAATTATTTCGAGTATTTTTCTTCCCAAAAAGAGATTCAGAATAAGAAGTGGAAAAGCGAAGAAAGGAACAGAGCAGAGAATGCATGTGAGCTAACTCGATCTGATCAAGTGTGACTCGATATTTATAGTCAGACAAAAATGAACTAAAGACATGTGATAAGTAGGGTAAGCAATGTACACTCATATGCTCATATAGAAAAGGTCAAGGTTAATAAGCGACTCTACTATAGGAAGTCAAATCTAGGACCATAGGTCTCGCGAGAGAACGCCTAACATTTAGACCGCTAAATTTCAACTCATTGATGTGCGTGTCTGACTTCAATTAATTCACGATATTGAGAGACCATTTTCCATCACGTACTATGGATAACTGTCTTACACTCGATATATTCGAATCCTACTTCTCACAGCTTCTCACTAGAATTACTGGAACGGCGTATTGAAGTTAATCACTAATGAACAAATAATTACTATATACTTTCATGTTAAGATAAAACTTAGGTGAAAAAAAGTTGCGAAGAACATCTTTAACATTATTCCACAAGTTCTGAAGTAGAATAAAGCATCAGTTATTAATCACTAAAAAGATGTTCATTTGTAATGTTAAATAATTTATTCTAAGGGATTAAAGTGAAGAATATATAATATGGTCAAAGTAAATATCAATTACTAATATAAAATGAAGCAAGGATGTGTAAAATACGAATGCTCATAATTTGTGGTGTAATATATGGAACATTTAATGTTGAGTTAACATTGTGAATACATGAGCATTCAGACAATCAATATACTGACTATAATCAGTCTTTTATGCATGATTAATGTAAAATTATTATTGCATTTACAATAAATTCAACTTTATTATCACTTACTTGTTGTGAATTATTTGTTACATTAGTAAATTTAGTATAACTTAATTGTTCAGTTGAATGTGAATTCGATGTGAGTTCACTTTCTGAGTCAGAGGCTAAAAAGTAAACAAAAAAGAGTTAAATAAATAAAGATGCAACAACCACAATAGTAACACCATAACACTCATACCGGGAGAATGATATATATATATATAACAATTGACATTGTAATGTCAGATATTTGTAATTATACAAGATGAAAATATGAAATTTGGTATGATAATTATCAACAATTGAAAATAAAATATATCTAAACGTTCTTTTTAAAAAAAATTATACATGAATGTGTTTCGTTTTAATTTATAATTAGGTAAATCCCTAATTTAAAAAAATATTGTCAAAAGGCTACTGTAAGAATGTAATTTAAACTCTATAGGATAAAAAATCAGTAACAGAGATGTTAGACATTAACACCGTTGGATGCTCGCTCAGTGGTCTACAGGTTAAGCGTTCGCACTTGAGACTGAGAGGCCCTGGGTTCGAATCTCGCGAGGCAGAATCGTGGATGCGCACTGCTGAAGAGTACCATACTAGGGTGAAACGGCCGTCCAGTGACCAGGTTTTCAATGGTGGTCTAGCTTCAATTGACTCATGAATTTATTCATTAAATTACTACAATCTCCACAAAGACCCCTCTCTAATTGTAACCAATGATTTAGATGGTGGTGGCCACATTGCAACATGATCGATTGCATTCGTTCTGCACTAATAAGGACTAGACAAGCAAGACATTGATCACCACCCAGTGATCAATCAATTGTAACCAATGATGTTTAACCTATAAGAGTTACATCGATTTTAGGTGATTAGTAATGTGATAAATACTATATATGGAGTGATATTATGTTTTGTAATCTGTTTTGATATCAGATGTTTGTGGTCAGTGTACAGAAAAACAAGAACTTTATTACTGTATAGGTTAACAAATAATCAATGATTCACGCGTCGTTAACCAAACAGTTTCAGTGAACAAGTAATGATTTGAGTTTCAGAAATTTAATCCTGAATTATTAATTCTGTAGTCCGCTGAGTCTCAGATATTTTTTGCATTATATTTTCTGCAAACTACGTGACAAATTTTCATGGTTCAGATCACGAACTTATCTTCGTTAAACAACCATTGAGAACCTGAAGGCACTGGATAGATGTTTTGTGCTAGTATAAGACTCCTCAGCAATACACATTCACGACCCTGCATCTAGATATCGAACCCAAGACCCTTATTCTCACGCACGAACGCCTAACTTCTAGACTACTGACCTAGCATCCAACGGTGTCTATGTCTAGCTTTAACAATTTGCTAAATTGTGAAATTATGTATATATTTTGTACCAGTAGTAGTGGTATTGTAGAGTATGCTAATTATGTTGACGGATATTAGAAGTGGGTAACACTGATCAGATGTGGAATGTCTGTCAAAAGAAGGTTGAGAAGATTGAACTGAATAGGTAGGGAAACATAAAAGAATTGAGCATTATGAGAATTATAAGGTATGTAAAGAGAAACTGATGGAAGATGTGCAAATGGAATAAGTAGTGTAGAGTTTTCATAATTTACTAAGAAACTTTGTAGTTTTGAACTAAATAAATTGGTTGTCCCCACCAAGTCTTCGTTCCCTACAGTATGACTGAGTAATAATGAAATTTCTGTTAATTCATTTTATATTCTCATTCAAAACAACGTTATATACAATTGTTCAAAAATACTGCTGAGGAATCTTATACTAGAGGAAAATAACTGTTCAGTACTTCCGAGATTTTCCTAACCAAAAACAGTTTATGATGTGAAATTTATCACATAATTTCATTTAATTATTTACCTAACCTTTGATAACAAATCAGAGTGATACAATTTAGCTAGAAACCTATGTGCATACTGTCAACAGAATCTAAGACAGTTTACTAAGATACTTTTTATTAAACATAATAGTGTGCAAATAATACAGGATTTCATATAGATCAATAGTTTGGATTTGGACGGTCACCATAGTAAACACACATCCATGAATTTGCTGCTTTAGTTTTGTTGCATACCTTTCATCGTGATTTGTACTCCCTTGTAAGATATTTTTTACTTAACCTTGACTATACATTCGTCCTATTCACATGATATTCTTACTAATAATAGCTAAAATCATTAATGATAATAATAATTATTTTTATTATTATTATGATTACTATTATAATCACAACAACAGTACAATAATTCCTACATATAATTTTAATCTATCGATCACAAGTGATCACCCGAAAGCACATAATTGTTTTGACCGTTATGTGTGATCTCATCTTAGCATTTCTATTGACTCTATTTTATTGAATATTTTTTAATATATTTTTAATATCGATGTGAAATTTACCAACTTTAATTTAAAACATGGATTAATTCAACTTTAATATTTTGTTAATTGTAACACAATAATAATAATAATTTGATGCATAACAGTAGAGCTACTTGAAGAAGTTATCGATAGCTGTCACTTGGTTTGGTGCTGTTTGGTCTCAAACATTCTATGAGAACTTTTAAATTGCTAAAATATTATACTTCTGCAATGAATCGTTTGAATTTATGACATTTTTCTATGAAAATTGCGTAAGTACGCCCAGTGCAAAAAAACAACTGTTGGCGTAGCTATCGTTAATAAAAGTTAGCATTCATGGGGGAAAATAATTACAGCGAACAATCAATATTAGTGCTATAATTATTGGGATCAAAGAGAATAAACAAGACAAACAGTTGTAAAGAAATAAACTAATTGTGACAAACTAAGTTTAGGTCAGAACTGCCTGCACATAATGTGTTAAGACAACTAAACAACTAATGAAAAAACAAACAAACATTTGTGAATGTAAACGTGATATTAGGGAAAAATATGTAGCCATCTAATATGTATGATAAGACACTTCTGTTTTAATTTCTGTCTACACACTTCAGTTATTTTCAATCAGGAAAAGAGTGAGAAAACCTTCAAATCCCCAAACATAACAGTTCGTATATCTATACTATCTGCTAAATCACTTTTTGAAAATAGCTTGTTGTTTGAAAAATATATCCTTAAAAAAATACAACTCTTAAAAACTAACTAGCTAACTCTCTAAGAATAGCGAGAGAATGTTCGATAGTGTTGATTATTTGCAAAGAGGTAGTTTGCACCCTTTCCAGTCAGTAAAAAAATAAGACAACCCAGGACAAAATCACGAAAAATTTGACCCCTGATTAAACTTACATCAAATCATATCACTCATCTGTATTGATGAAATGCTATGACGAGGAATGAATTGAACGTTACGAATATATATATATATATATATATATATATATATATATATATATATATATATATATATATATATATATATATATATATATATATATATATATATATAATGAAGAAAGAAGTATTAAGAGTTGGTACGTTGTTCAATATTCCGAAAATTTTAACAATTGTCTAGATATAACCAGTTTACTCACTAACTTAAGCCTATTACTGATTGTGGAGAAGCATAGGACGCCTACCAGCATTCTCCATCCAACCCTGTCCTCAGCAGTCCTTTCCAGTTGCTATTCATCCTTTTCATGTCTGCTTCCAATTCCTGACTCATTGTGTGTTCTTAGGCCTACCAATTTTCCATTCCCCTTCAGGATTCCAATTTAGCGATTTCATCGTGATGCGATTTCATGACTTCCGCAATTTATCTCCCATCCACTTCCATCATTTTTTCCTAATTTCGTTTTCAGATGGAAGCTGGTTTATTATCTCCCACAGTAGGCTGTTGCTGATGGTATTCGATCAACGATATTGAGTATCTTACGTAGACAATTGTTTACAAATACTTGTACCTTTTTGATGATGGTTGTAGTAGTTCTCCAAGTTTCGTCTTCGTACAGTGGGACTGTCTCAACGTTCGTATTGAAGACTTACTTTGATACTGGTTGACAGTTGTTTTGAGTTCCATAAGTTCTTCACTTGTAGGAATGCTCTCTTTGCTTTGCCAACCCTCGCCTTTACGTCTGCATCAGATCCTCCTTTTTCATCGATGATGCTTCCCAGATACGTGAGAGTTTCCATCTCTTCCACGTATTCTCCATCAAGTGTGATTGGATTGATGTTCTCTGTGTTGTATTTGAGGATCTTGCTTCCTCCCTTGTGTATGTCGAGGCCTTCTGGTGCAGAGATTGCTGCCACCACACTGGCTGTCTTCATCTGCATTTGTTCGTGTGTGTGGGGGGGATAGAAGAGCCAAGTCATAAGCAATCTTGTCTAACTCCGGTCCTCACTTGGAATGCGTCTGTCAGCTGTCCTCCATGCATCACTTTGCACTGAAACTCCGTCGTATGAATTCCGTATGATGTTGACGATCTTCTCAGGTACACCATAGTGTCTAAGAAGTTTCCATAACGTTCTCCTATACACACTGCCAAACGTCTTCTCATAGTCAATGAAGTTGATGTGTAGTGACGAGTTCCATTCAATTAATTGTTCAACGATGATCCGTAGTATCGCAACTTGGTCTGTACACAACTGACCTTTACGGAGATCAGCCTGTTGATCTTGTACTTTTGCGTCTACCGCGTCTTTTATCCGGTTCAGCAACACTCTGTTGAAAACGTTTTCTGGGGACTGACGGTAGTGTAATGCTTCTGTAGTTCTCACATTTGATTAGATCTCCTTTCTTTGGTATCTTGATGAGGTGTACTTCGGATCTATATTGTCGTCATTGCTATTATTGGTGAGTGCATAACATTGGATAACATTCATTCTGATTCTCTCTTTCTTTGTTTTGAATGATGCTTTGATGATCCTGGGTCCATGAGATTTCCATCCTATAAGTGTGTCTCGTTCTTTGTTGGCCAGCATCAAAACAACTCCCTGAGTGTTTAGTGCATTTTCCTCTTCATGACTGGAATATAGAAGCATCCCTCCCGTATCTAGCCTTTTCTGTTCAGCTTGAGTTTAATGGGTTTCGTTGATTCCGAGAAGCACCAATTTGTATCTCCTCATTTCCGTTTCTATTTGACTGATCCTCCCGGTCTTCCACATTGTCCGGACGTTCTATGTACCGATAAAAATGTTCGCTCTGGTTGTTAGAATGGGCATCGGTTTCGAATTTCATCATGAGGTGTCATGATTCTTCCTTCAATTAGGAGGACAGAGTTTAAATGGTTTAATTTGTTTAGCATTTTTCTTAACAATGTTGCTTTCTACGGTATGGGATTGTCAGCTACACGCCCAACCCTCCTCCTTTGTGTGGGCTTGGAACTGGCAATAGCTTTAGAAGAGCTACATGTGAAGTTATGATTAGTTAAGATATCAAAAAAATATCTACAAAGTAGAATTCAACTTACGAACACTAAAAGATGCCAGGTGTACACTACCGTCAGACAGGGATTGACTGACTAACTGTACACTATTATCATTTGGTAAAGATACAATTCGTCGATGCAACTTTGGAGTATGTGAAAATTGTTGTGAATATCGTTGTTTAATATTACTCTGAATTACATCATGGTTTTCTGAATGAGAATTGTATGGACGTGGAATCATACCATTTGATAAGTCATTATTCAACATTGTTTGAGATTGAGTCATTTGACTTGTTTGATGTAAAGGGTTATAATCAACTGAAGTAGTGCATAAGAGAATTTCTTCAATTGCTATAATTTAACGATAAACAATTAAATAATTAATTTTAAGACATCATAAACAAGTAGTGAAGATATTTTTGCGAAATAAAATAGTATTTTGTTTTAATAATTAGTGTAAACACTGTAGAATAACTAGTGAACTGATGAATTACAATAACAGTCATATTGATTAATGAAATCATACACATTTACTTTATTGCGTTACAGTTTTTAAAGTTTGTACTTAGTGAAAGAAAATGGAGTTTCGAAAAAGATGATTACATTTCATTGAGAATAGACAAGAAACTTAGTGATCGGTAACATAAAAACAACCAGAATTTAACATAAGGTTCCGTAACAAATGACCCACAAGGATAGACTTAAAGTACGCTAATTACTGACAAACTTATGAAGGCAATATGTCGGAATACAGAAGTTTACATATTGCTCTTACTCAGTGTAACAAATCATGATATTTTATTTAGTAAAATGTTAGTTTCTTATCAGCGTGATATTCAACATTGATTTCATCATTAGTGTAACATTTAGTCAATATCATAGTGAGTCTATATTTTCCAGTGTGACATAATCTCAAGTTATTATGTTTCGTAATCATTAAGTGTCAATTTTGATCAGTATGGCAGGTGTAAACATCCTTCCACTGTGACAATTATATTTTTTTTATCATTCTGTACGAATTCTGTATCTGTTTTACTAGTAACCTTGTGCATATCTTCATATATATGATGTTCACTATCGAGTCATCAAGTGAGATGATAGGGAAGATTTATAGCTCAGGTGGATGATTTCGATAGAGTCTTGTTCTCTGAGTTGGATGGTTTGGTCGTAGAGATTTCATCGTTATTCTGAACGACATCATAAGCACAAACTTCAGATAAAAGTGAAGTCATAATGCAAGCTCTACGACCAAACCATCCAGTTCAGAGAACCAAACTTCATTAGAATCATCAAGTATGTGCAAAATCAGTGTATGAATGAATGTATTTGGTTTAGTGATGATGTGATTTTGGACGACTTGTGTGGAAGACGTTTTTTTGCAGAGTCAATGAATTTTCACTCGTACCAGTTCTATGTTATCACTTTGTGTTATGGGAATCGTAATGATTCCCGTTTCCAAGTATAAGTAATATCACAGAAGCATTTCGATTATTTGCTAGAAATGTCTTTCAAGACTTATTGCTATGTTAAATTTATTGATACGGATTAGTCGAGGAGCTTATTGTTTCATATTTTTTTGTGAATAACACTATAGTACATAAAACTACAGCACTAGAAACAAAAATAATTATTTTTCGAGAAAGTAGGTGAATGTATAGAATGACGGTGATATTGATTGTAATAACTGAATATAATGAAATAATCTCGCGAAAATGTTATAATTGTTGAATAAAAGATTAGTGCACTTACATTAAAATAAATATTTGTTTGTCTGTTGTTAAACCAGAGTACTATATTGAATTTAAGAGAAATTACATATCGACAACTCGTTAATTATCAATAATCCTCTACTTTGGAGCTGTGTAATGAACAAAGTGTTCATTGTTTAGTTAGCACGACTTGAAGTTCCAACCGACCTACTTTCGTTTGATGAAATAGGCTCTCGAGTCGTGTATTTAAAGCTGAAATTTAACCACTTATAATCACATTTGATCAATAAAGTTGAATAATACAATTTACTTAACTATTCAGTGGGTTATAGTTTGTTACGCACATCTAGCATGAGAAAAAAATACTTGTATCCCGTCAAACTTGAAAAGAGAAGTGAAGTCATTAAATTTAAAGATGGATCTGAACATACAATCTTCAAAAAAAAAGAAGGAGAGGTGATATGATGGAAAGAAAAAGCAATTTTCGATTGATTTACTCATTATGAGTTTACTTCAAGATTACTTCTGTTTTGATTCAATGTAATGATTACTCAATGTAGTATTTGTTTTCTTTTCTCGTATGATATTTTATTCTGTATAATACGCGATTTTCTTGTATTCCATTAACATGAACTATGCTCATTATGTGATTTGTTATTGTATTTTTCATATATGTGACTTCATCCTAATTATTAATCAAAATGGGTGTACACTCAATATATCAATGAATGTTTATTCTACTAGAGTTTTCGTCGTCATAGTGTTTTGGGGTTAATAAATCATCACTTATACCAGTCTTTGTGTTCTTATTTTCGCGTCGTGGGAATTGCAGAGGTCCCTCGTTCCGAGTATAAGTGATAAGCGTTTTCGACATAACAATCAGCGACGACCAGATACAAAAAGTAGCATTAAAAGAACCAAGACAATAAGCATTCAAACGACAAGTTATAACGAGAAAATCGCAACCAATCGTAACAGGGATTTCTTTTAAGAGGACAGTAGTGATAAACTGATTACGAAAATAAAGACACTGTGACAAAACTAAGTTGCTTTGAACTGTTACAATGTCAGACAACATTATAAGAAGAAATCAGTGGAAAGTGGATTGACAAGAAGACACAATGAAAATATTGGGAAACAGATAAAACTAGAGTAATGAGTGACCCAATGTTCAAGACAAGGTAAGGCATTAAAGAATACACGCAAATCGAATTTGGCATCTCAGATTATATAATTTAGGCATTTGCCGATAATTTATACACTATTATCAACCACAAGTTGTCAAGTTCTCAAACTTATTTTAACAGCGCAGAATATGATATGATCTATTGATACATTCTCTATAAAGATACTCTACCTTCGTTTCATTCGGTCAGTCAGTAATACGAAACGTAGGATCTAGCATGTGTGTATATGAGTTCAAGTTGTCACACTCTATTGGCATATTAAAACAGAGTTTTCAGGGCGAATCCTAAAGTAGTAGAAGTAATAACAGTATGTGGAAACAGAAAAGATACAGAAAAATACAATCCAAGAAAATAAATATTAGTGAAATATAAAAATTTATGAGAAACTTAGAAAGTTAAAAAGTAATTAAAGACAAAATCGAAAGCAATTGAGACAATGTGAACGGCTTTCAGCCATGTAATTTCAAGCCTCTAATCATTAGACACGATAATAAATCGGACTCAAACCAGGTGAGCTACACCTACCTACATGGCTCTACTCAACAAACAGTATCTTCATGGACTGACCTCAAGTTCCAGTTCGCTCCGAAACCAGCCATAATCGTGCGTCGAGCTAACTGATGAATGGGATTATGTATTTCATATCCTAATTATCGCAAACGATAAGATTTAACTACCTTCCTAATCGATTTTTTACGGTTACCGAGTATTCTCCGTCTTACCTCAGAATTGCTAGCCTCAAACAGCACTAAAAATCCTTGATGGAGTTTTGTTCTCTGAGCTGGATGGTTTGGTCAGAGAACGAAACTCCATTAAAATCATCCACCTGAGCTACAATCACTAAAAATCCCTGTTTGATTCAGGTAAAGTACAATGCAGAAAGAAACTGCATTATATGTGCTCAACCTCATCAATTTTCTTTATAGTGACCAAGAACATTAAATTACGAATGCTTTTTTTGAGTGAAAAATCTCGTGTTTAGACAAGATCAGTCATTCTTAACTTCATTATTCTCTAATAGAATGCTACAATAAAGATCTCAAAACATTTAAGGGAAAATTATTTCATTATTATAACGCAAAAAAGAAGATTGAGTTAAGCGACGTAAACCATCAAATGAATAGGATGCATATATTCGTAATAAAACAAGTGTTCTACAAAACAAGAACCAGTATAATTCGGTTTCGTTGAAAAAGAATCACTGAAATCCCATCTCATGGTATGCATGTTTAAACTTCATGTAACTTCTTATGTATTGGCTATTTGAACCTCCCCACTGATGCCTAAAACTGCAACTGATCAGTCCCTTTAAGTATACGTGCATCTTGTGTGGAATACCTCGTTGTTACCATTACGTACAAGCATTTGCATGCAGAGATGGATGGTGGGTAGCAGTGGGATCCAGTATGCATTTTTCGTCCAATTTGGGGCTCCTCAGTCGAATGTACTTGCAACCCAGAGTTGATATTCACTGTGTTAGTAGGTCATAGGACGGATTGTTAGATGTTTCACGGAGAATGATATTGAGGCACTCTGATTGGTCCATTTTTAGACGATCAGTGTTAGAGGATAGACGAAGGAGAAAAGAATATTTTCGTGTATAAATTATAAATTTACTAACAGTTTTTGCACCGTGATTGTTACTCCCATTAAACCTTGATTGTTTTGGAATATAATCTCGTCCCTGTTGAACCGTGCTCTAATTTCTGCCTGTCGGATAAAGTGGCTGAGTCAAATAAAGAGAGATCTCAAATCTCCGGGAATCGAGCGCGGTACTATTAACTTCATGAGCCAACGAGTAACCCATTTGACTACTGAGTACTGATACTCACTGGTTACTTGAATCTTCTGATTGATGTTTGGAATTGCGACTGATTAATCCACTTAAGGAACATTTACATCCCCTTTTAGTCACTATCAATCTCTGCTAAAAAACCCAATTGCTTAAAAAAAATAATACTAGTAGCTTTTATTTCAAGTTAGATGCATTTTCACTAGTACTAATAGTATAATTAAATAAATGAATAAGTACTCATCAATGAGTTAACGGTGTAAAGATGCTAAAAATTCTAAATAACATCATATTTTTTTGCAGAAAAAAACAATGACAATACAAGGTTAATGAGTGAAAATGAAGTTAAAAGAAAAGATGAGAGAAATAAAGGAAATAAAAATTATATATTGTTTTTGCACGCAAAGGTTAGGTTTAAAATAAAAATTCTTTTCATTATGGATCAACGTTAGTCATATAAGACTGACAAGTACTACGGAGCATTTTTTTTATTATGCTCACTTATGAATAGCTTCGAGAACTCTCAGAGTTCAAGTGAAAGTCATGTTTAGTGGAGTTCAAATAGACTTACGAATGGTATAGATATCATTGACGAAATTGGATGAAGGTCTTGCAATATTGTAAGTCAACTGGGCTTGTAAATTTGAATAAACGGATTATGATCTAAGGATTTGAATCTCTTAAGGTTCGATTCCCGGAGGGATGGTTGTGGACCTCCAAGCAATAGCAAAATAGAACGAAAACAACATTTCGGTGTTTCTCAGTTTTATCTAGCTAATATCAATTTGTATAGTTGAAATCATGAGTCAATTGAAGCTAGACCATCATGGAAAACCTGGAAGCACTGGACGGCCGTTTCGTCCTAGTATAGGACCCCTCAGCAGTACGCATCCACGATCCCGCCCCCCGCGAAATTCGAACCCAGGACCTATCATTCTCGCGCACGAGCGCCTAACCATTAGATCACTGAGCCGGAATCCAACGGTGTTAATGTCCAACTTCAACTAATCCACAAAACCGCGCCACCGTACGCCATTGTCTTCAGTGAGCTGACATCTCACAACAGACCTGGTTGATAGGTCCTGGGTTCGAATCTCGAGGGGGGCGGGGGCGTGGATGTGTACTGCTGAGTAGTCCCATACTAGGCCGAAACGGCCATCTAGTGCTTCCAGGTTTTCCATGGTGGTCTAGCTTCAATTGAATTATAATTTCAACTATTGAAATTACTAAAATCTCCACATAACCCCTTCTGATAATATCAATTTGTAACGAAAACTATCCCTTAATTGAACTAGTCTATTCAAATCACACGATAAAAATATAAAATATTTGCGGATAGGTAGGCGATTAACAGAGAAGCATCAATCACGCAGATCATTTGTTCTGACTGTTCAGGTGATTGATGATAGTTCTAGTTTATGAGAAAGCATGACTCTTTTTATATTTTTCAATAGATAGTGAAACAAAGTAATTGTACTGAAAAACCTTAACCGAGGACCTCTTGTATATTTTCGTAAATCATCAAACAACAGCTCTTCGTCGTTATTTCAAAAGTCGGATAATGGTAAAGTAAAAACAATATTGTCCATTATTGACTATCAAAAACTGGAGCCTTAATTACTAGAAACAACATCATGGTATTTTGCAGATATACAATGTGAAAAAAAGAAACTAACCGAGCATACAAATCTGAGAAAAATACAACACCGACAACTACTTGACGGATATTTCAGAGACACATTTCACAGAATAAGTGAATATAAATTCATATTGGAAACGATAAACTCTTAATACCGATAACAATATCAGTTATAATAGTTCTTTCAAAATAGATAAACTTTACGTCTTAAGAACTAAGCGTTGATATAAAAAATTAATTAGTTTATGAATTATTCACCACAAAATATAAATTCCAGCTTTATCATACAGAGAATCAGATTTGAAAATCAATAGAGTGAACAAGTCAACCAGAAGCCGAAAAGACTAAATCGGGATCGTGCTTTTCAATAACAAATGTAAATGAAAATTAATAATTTCTTATGAGTTCATATACTACGAAGTACGCTAAACTTATTATTTGCAAAATAAAATAGAAACGAATAGGGATTCAGTCTTACGAAACAATATAAAAAACCAAAAGAACTAAGTCATATGGTGTTTTGCATTTTTATAAAAAGGCAGATAAAAGCGCAAAACAACTACAATAACTATTCAATTAGCTAATGTCATCCCAACATTTTTATCGAACAGCCTCTTTCCTTCTCAGAAGACACGAATTTCAGTTACAATTGTTCAGTATTCACCAATATAGTTTCCCGTTCAGTCTTTGTTTCGTATTTTAACTAGATTGTCCAAACGTTTAGAAGAATGTTACAGTGACTGGACTGCAACTCATACCACAACAAAAGAGCATAATACTATAACATCTAAGTCATTGTATCATATATCCTCTATAACAAGACGATAACAAACTTTGTCCATCCAGAATATAAATAAAAGGATATATATATATATATATATATATATATATATATATATATATATATATATATATATATATATATATATAGTGTAGTAAACAGAGCAACTTACATTCACGTGTGATATCTGCTAAATGAGGAACAACTTCTGGAGGTGTACCATTAAATACAGATAGATTACGTTTTTCAGCACATTCTAGGTCCATACAACCTTCTGTACAATCCACAGTCCCAGGAGGACATCGACTGATACCTAATGCATCCAAGGTGTACAGGGCTAAGTCTCTTTACCGTAAAAAAAACAAGTTGGAATAAAACAAAATTGATCAATATAACCGTTAACATTACCAGTAGTATTAAGCAATATCCCAAAATCTTTAAGTCAATATAATTATTTTAGATATTACCAGATACCAAATAATCAAAAATAACTTACTGTAACAAACAATAACTGATGTCTATTTTTAATACGATCTTTGTCATGAACTGATATCAGTTGATGAACCATTACAGAAACAAAGAGTTATGAACACTTGTTCAATGTTAGTTTAGGGATTGACTCCTCAACAATAAGCATCTATAACCTAGACAGGGAACGAAACCAGAAACTTCACACCTCCAACTCAGGTCATTGAGTCAGAATCCAATAGTTTACAGTTTAAATTTACGATATTACGAGAAAAACCACTCCTATAAACGATATATGGTACACTTTTAGCCTGTTTGAAATTTATCCATTAAAGCTTGTCATTGGAACTTAAAGAAATTTTCTCGAAACTAATCATATTTCTTTAAAAGAATTGTATGAAAACTAATTGCCCAACATGGTTGTGAGCGCCCCTAAGTATGATCAATTAACAAACAAAAGAAATACACGAAAGAAATGAAAATAGAATACATCATTGATGATAAATTATTTACGTTTGGACTATCATAAACAATGATTGATTGAAGACTGTATTACATTAAAATAATAAGGAATGGACCTCTATCAAAATCAAGAAACGAAGAACAAGAAGACAGCAATTAACAACAGCCGAACAGGAACAGAGAAAATCAAGGCACGGACCGAACAAACAGAGGGAAACAAGGTAATGAAGAGGAGCATTAGAGCCGACTAGCAGAAATATGTGGAAGAGAGAGCATTCCTACAATTGAAGAACGTATGGAACTAAAAAAAACTGTCAACCAGTATCAAAGTAAGTCTTCAATACGAACGTTGAGACAGTCCCACTGTACGAAGACGAAACTTGGAGAACTACTACAACCATCATCAAAAAGGTACAAGTATTTGTAAACAATTGTTTACGTAAGATACTCAATATCGTTGACCGGATACCATCAGCAACAGCCTACTGTGGGAGATAATAAACCAGCTTCCATCTGAAAACGAAATTAGGAAAAAATGATGGAAGTGGATGGGAGATAAATTGTGGAAGTCATCAAATCGCATCACGATGAAATCGCTAAATTGGAATCCTGAAGGGGAATGGAAAAGTGGTAGGCCTAAGAACACACAATGAGTCAGGAATTGGAAGCAGACATGAAAAGGATGAATAGCAACTGGAAAGGACTGCTGAGGACAGGGTTGGATGGAGAATGCTGGTAGGCGTCCTATGCTCCTCCACGAGGGGTAACAGGCATAAGTAAGTAATATAGGTTTTATTCTAACATGAATATTTAGCTCAACTAAGGATACTTGTGAATGACCTAGTTTCATTTCCACTCTTATTAATTAGATATACATATTTATTTATTTTTTTTTAAAAAGAGGGACGAAACAAAGAGTAATTAATTTGAAGATTTCAACATTAATTCTATTTAAAATAATAATAATAACGACAATGAAAATATGAAAACCAAATAGAATTGTATTATTTCGTTTTATTCTAATTAAGCAAGATTTCATGTAAAGGAACATATGTTTATATTGAACCCATTGAACAGTAAAATTATTTATTCATCGTAATATTTATAAAATGAGGAAATAAGGGTAACTCACTATCAAATAGAAAGATCAATTTAAACAACTGTAAACTTGGTGAAAGCAGAATGTAATGGTTTAAATGAGCTGTTAAAATGTAAATAATAACACAACCAGCGGCCTGCTTGAATATCTGGGCTACCTATTCCTCCGATCTAGATATTTCATCAAGTTATCTGTTTTGTTGTTTGTTTTAGCACATCACTATGTCTGTTGTGCGCACGATCTATTCAGGAGCGTTTGTGAAAAGTTTACAACCTTTCGCTATACGAGATACAAAAAGGTACAATCAGAAACATCATGGTGGCTGGCAATATGCATTGAAACGAATGAACAGTAATCAAATGTGGATTACCGAACTCCTAACATCTAACTGGTCATCATTCAAAATTTATCGTCACAATCGATCAAGGTATAAGAAAAGGAAACTTGTTGAAATACTTTATGCTGAGAATTCTATGTTGTACCAAAAATATAATGTTGAATAAAGCTAATAATAATAATATTATTATTATTATATCATAGAAAGTTGTTTTTATTTTGTAGTAATTACAATCAATCTTTAAATTCGACCACATCTGAACAACATTTTATCCCTAAACATTAGATGACCTTACTAAGGAAAATCCTCTGCTTAGTTATTTAAATAGAATTGACTGTTTTGTTAATTTTATATAAGTGTACTGTTGAAAACTTGAATAGAAAAGAAGCAAACTAAGGAGTCTTGGTGATTACAATTAGTTATATCATTTTCAATAATAAAAAACAACCTTTTGTTAGGTTTTGTAGCTTAAACAAACCCACGCCTAACAATACTTGTATTTTTCGACATTAGGGTAGTATTCGTGTCTGTCAATCAACAGGTTTTGTGGTAGCATTTGACACTAAAGAGCATAGTAAAGAAGTATATACACTATGAAGGTTCTACATATGAACATGAATGATTGAATCAAAGCTTATGGCGAACTGCCATCAAAATTGACAACATCTAATGTTATTTCTCAAAACTTCCCACTTTTCTCACCCTTAGTTAACTTTTTTATGAAAGTCTTTCAGAAACAACGCTTTTGCTACAACTTTTCAGTGACCGATTTTCTTGCCAGTATACGAACATAATATAATCCTGTCTGCAAGGACGGTGACAAAGTATAGTGTTTTGACCACTTGACTCGATAATGCGATCATGTTTAGGGTGCATTTCTTTCCCCATAAGTGTGAAACGTTACTTCAGGGTGACTCTATGATAACACCTAAATTAATGGCAGGGAGTGAAGTAGCTGAGTGCATCGACAATTTTATCCTTGTCGGATTATCAGTTTTGGTGGGTAGGTGTCTGATTCTCTCTCGGTACAAGTTCAAAAATCTCGATCGGCTTTTGTCAACTTCTTTCATCTATAGCATAGGCGAGATGTCAATTTTTCAAATAGATTATGAATATACTGCGCAACAACTTCGCCAGGAGTTACTGCCGGTCCCAAGCTCGGATAAAGGAGGAGGGTTGAACATGGGGTTAGCGTCCACATCCCGTAGAAAACTAACTCGCTAAAAAAACGCTAAACAGAAAAAATAATTCAAACCTTTTAAACTCTGCCCCGGGAGTCAGAAGGTCTTCGTTTAGAAGAACTATGACGTTTCATGATAAAAGCCGAATTCCTTCGGAATTCACGAGGCCGATGCCCCTTCTTACAACCAGAGCAACCATTTATTTAGGTACATGGAATGTTCGTACAATGTAGGACACCGGAAGAGCCCTCCAAATCGCTGCGGAAATGAGGAGGTACAACCTAGAGGTGCTTGGGATCAGTGAAACACACTGGACGCAAGTTGGACAACAATAACTAGCTTCAGGGGAGCTTCTGATATACTCCGGCCATGAAGAAGAAAATGCCCCCCACGCACAAGGAGTAAAGACCGGTGTCAGGCAAGGTTGCTTACTCTCACCCTTTCTCTTTCTCTTGGTGATCAACTGGATCATGAAGACGTCAACATCTGAAGGGAAACACGGGATACAATGGACATCTAGGATGCAATTGGACGATCAAGACTTCGCAGATGATCTGGCCCTTCTGTCCCAAACGCAACAACAAATGCAGGAGACGACCAGTGTAGCAGCAGCCTCAGCAGCGATAGGTCTCAGTATACACAAAGGGAAGAGCAAGGTTCTCCGATACAACACAGCACGCACCAATCCAATCACAAATGACGGAGAAGATTTGGAAGATGTAAAAACCTTTACATATTTGGGCAGTATCATTAATGAACATGGTGGATCTGATGCAGATGTGAAGGCGCGGATCGGTGAAGCAAGAGCAGCATATTTACAACTGAGGAACATCTGGAACTCAAAGCAACTGTCAACCAACACCAAGGTCACGATTTTCAATACAAATGTCAAGACAGTTCTACTGTCTACTGGGGCGGAAACCTGAAGAACTACGAAAGCCATCATCCAGAAAATACAGGTGTTTATTAACAGTTGTCTACGCAAAATACTTCAGATCCGTTGGCCGGACACTATTAGCAACAACGTACTGTGGGAGAGAATAAACCGGATTCCAGCGGAGGAAGAAATAAGGAAGAAGCGCTGGAAGTGGATAGGACACACATTGAAGAAAGCACCCAACTGCGTCACAAGGCAAGCCCTCACATGGAATCCTCAAGGCCAAAGGAGGAGAGGAAGGCCAAAGAACACATTACGTCGGGAAATGGAAATAGACATGAGAAAAATGAACAAGAATTGGATGGAACTAGAAAAGAAGGCCCAGGACAGAGTGGGTTGGAGAATGCTGGTCTAGGGCCTATGCTCCATTGGGAGTAACAGGCGCAAGTAAGTGAGTAATACTGCGCAACAGCTCATTTCTTTCTACCTTTAAAAATAGAGACTTGTAGATTAGTAGTACTTAGCTTGTAGATCTCTTTGGAGCATTAGTTGTCCATGTTGAGACCATCGGATTAGGGGTGTTGAGGCCATATACAGAGTAGTTTACAAAGATGGAGTATCAGTCGATGGGGTAGTGAATCCTCATCAACTGAATAGAGTACTCATTACTTAGGCCCAAACGTCTTCTGTTAAGATATCAGACATTTGCTTATATAGGAGGTTGAAAGATAGTTAGGAGCGGCCGAACCAATATGTAACATCAGTCCATGAAATCAATAACAGATGAACTGAGCCGTGCAGGTAGATACAAACCACTAGGTCGGAGTCTTCATAATCATAGTAACCAATGCTCGAATGACATGGCCAAGAATCATTCATCATTCACAACGATTAAATGTTTATGTTAAAATACCATGTAGTTTATACTTAGTTTCCTTTATTACCACTGATAGTTACTACTTGTTGTTGTAATAATTTTATCACGTTGTGCTAATAAGGTACGGAAACTTTAATCGATTCACATACATACAACGTTTTAAACAGTTTATGAATTATTGAAATAATTTATGGAACAAAAGAAAACTGAAGTACTATGTTTATACATCAACACAATGGAAGCAAATAAAAAATCTAATTTTTGGCACAGACTTTAACAATGAATTTAGAAATAGCCATAAACTATTTTTTCAATACTAATTCACCTCTGAAGTAAATCATGGTGACCCATATAACCTGATATCTGCAGTTTGTATAATCACGATACATAAATCTGAACGCTATGATAGTTATAAACAAAGAGATTGCTATCTACATAATGTGTTAATATATATGCATATTATGAACAAACTTTAAATGTGACTATAAGAGATAATATAATCAAGGAGAGAAAGATACACTATACTATACACTAAACAATATTCACTTAATTAATTGCTATTTTATCCACTTTCAAAATATTTTTTTATTTACTTTTTAATTATTACTTATTGAATTCCAAAAATATAGAACAACTGTTCAAATCTATAGTTATCACAATATATTGATTAATTTTCGAGTTCTATGTGGCCAATGATTTAACCTCGCTTTAGGCTTTCTAGATCTTATAATGAGCTTTAACAGAAAAATAAAACTAGAATAATATATTGTATAGTCTAATACTATCATAACATTAAATTTTTCTCAAAATATTTCGTTCATTCCCTTATTATATATGATGTAATCTAACAAACGTTTAATTACATATTTTTTTAACTATTAAAAACGATTACTCTGATTATCATGATCCTTATTCTTCGAATTATTTAGTTAGTCATTCAATACTACTTGCATAATCACATCGAAATTATAGAATTATTATTTAGCACCATTTAAAGTTTTATTATTAGCTTTTCCAGACTTTAACTCGTGTGTTACACAAAAGTACCATCAGTAGTATACATATGATATGATTTCGTGATTATTCATGCACTTGTAAAACTATATCAGCTGATAAGTAAATTGAAAAGTGATGATCAGTTTTTTTACTGTACAAAATTTAAAGAATTTATGGAATTAAATATTACATGAATATAAATATGTCATAAATTATTGTCGTGTTTCGAAATATTAAAAAAAAAGAGATATCTTCTACTTAGTGTTTTGTTAACTAAAAAGATATTAAGAATCATTCAGATTACCGATAAAAAGTAAAACTCCACTTGAGATTACTATTACTGTTTATTATTATTATTATTATTATTATTATTATTAATAGGATTAATCATGTGCTTTCTACACTTCTGAGATACTCTAAGTAAGTTTTGGCTAGTTTTACATAACAATTATTATTTCATGTTTAAAATTGAACATTTTGAGCAATTTTTATACAATCTAGCCACATGATACAAGATTATTACATAAAATTAATCTGAATGTATTTTTTCTGGCATGAATTGATGTTATCTAAAAAAAAATGAACCATTGTAAGCTATAATGTATTTCACTGGTTGAAATCATCAGTCAATTGAAGCTAGACCACTATGGAAAACCTGAGAGCACTGAACGGCCGTTTCGTCCTAGTACGGGACTCCGCAGCAGTGCGCATCCACGATCCCGCACCCACAAGATTCGAGTCCATGACCTATCAGTCTCGCGCCAGGCGCTTAACCAACTAGACCACTGAGCCGGCATCCAACGATGTTAATGTCTAACATCAACCAATCCACGAATGTATTTGTTAGATTTTTAATTTTAATTTACATGAGAAGTTATAACGAAGTTTTATAATAAGACAAGGTTAAAAAAGTAATGGTTTAATAATAATAACTAACGTTTTGGTTTTCAACAGTTTTCTAGATTTTAATTTTATTTCATAACATAAACTACTTTAAAATTGTATAACATTTTTACTAAACGATCATTTTACCATTAACTATATATTATTACATATTGAACAAATTTGAATAATTAGTTAACTATGACACAAAGTTTGATTACATACAATGAATAAGCGGTTGGATTATAACACAATTACAAAATTATTTTTACCAGTTAACAATCAAATGATACACATTAGTACAATTAATACATAAAACAAGATATATATTTGAAATCAGCCATAAATTCTACATAATATTTATCTGAAAGTAATCACTACAAAAATATGTTTAATACAAATTACATCTTATGAGTGATATGAACTAAATGTAGAACCAGTAAGAAATAAATCCCTGGTTCGTTGCCGGGTTCTGGAACCAGCCCCCAAATGCCCTGGTACGTTCGAAGGCGGGGAGAGTCAACTCTCCCTCTCGAAACGCTCTCACATGGTCACGCGTATACAGCCACTGCCAGGGAAGTTTTACTCACTGCCTTCTAGGGAAAGGGGTACTGTCTACGAAATTGAGAAGACAAAAAGCGAATGCCCGGAGTATACTTACAACTTTAATAACAGGATAGATAGAACTCTTATGGTAAGATATTGTTTAATTTAGTAAATAATTTAAAATAATATAGATCACATTCACTTTATGACTACTATCGATTAAATACAACACGATTATGGTTTGAATAAATCTTAATAAGAATGGTATTTATAAAACCTCGTTACTTAATTGGCGTAGTGATACACATTGTTAGGATTGGATTAAAACATGTTTCATCCAGTATTATATTGGAGCGAGCTGACTGGCTCTCTCCTAACCAATCAGGGCTAGCGGATAATCGGGGAAAACTCTAGAAACTTCTTATGTAAAATTATAAATATACTAATGCTTTTCTTACTGTGATTCACTCCCATTCAACACGGTTTGTTTGGAATATAATCACGCACTTGTTCAAACCATGTTCTGATTTTGAGGACTAATGGAATGAAGTAATGTTCGAAAAATACTAAGCGATAAGAGTAGCTGAGGTCGGCTGACAAAGCATTTAACACACATGAAACAGTATTTACTACGGATAATTAAATAGGGAAATATACAAACATAGGCAACAAAACTTTGAAAGTGTTTTCAATTCCACAGTAACCACGATCTATCAAGCAAAAAGCAATAGGCACAAAATGATCTCATCAAGCTGTTTTCTAATATATCTGCTCTAGGATGTTATTATTTTACGTTTATTCGAGTTGAAGCTTTAAGAAGGTGACATTCTATGAATAACTATTGGTTTTCCAAAATAACAAAAAACCTAATCAAGTTTAAGTGAGGTAATTATCGTTTGATTTTACTAGATAAGAAACCAACAAAAACCAATTGTTTAATTGTTGTTGGTACTTCAGATAAGACTTCTAAATGAACGCTTGAATGGGTTTCCTAAACCATTCTAACAACTTGAGGCTGAATCTACGCGGCTTGAACACGAGAGAAAAGATGAGAATTGTGAAAGGAACGCTTTACTCCAAGGATAGTTGGAGTGCGGAAAATCGAAGATGTTTATGGTATTTCAGATGGACTTAGGCTTCCGGAACCACAATAAACGTAGCAGAAGGATAGATAATTATCCGATCAGAAATTTGGCACGTGACTTTCGACTTCCTAGACGTTTTATAGAAGCTTCTGCCCAAAACTGATGGGATAAAATGTTTTCTAGCGTTTTCACCATTCCCTTGGACTGAGTAATATTTTGTGTCCCCCCAACACCTATCAGACAATAAGACTATCTTTGGGTCTGATTCCCATAACAACAACACAAAAAATAAATTATAACTAGACTGTAGCTTATGTAAATAAAACTGTTTATGGAACACAGAGCAACAACAAAATGACCTTGAGAGACTTCAGCTACTTAATAAGCTCATAATAGGGTTATGAATAAAGGCGTTATCTTAAATCTTATTGGCTCATCTATGGATTATAGTTCCGCCCCAAAACGCTTACATATTACACTTTATCTGAAAAATGTGTTGAGTATAAACAAGAAAGTTTTGCCACTGTTAGTATTAAAGAATCTAACATTGATCTATTTTATAACAACTTGAAAAGATTTCGTAAGTAAACAGAAAATGTATTTACATATAATTTTATTACAGATAATAACGTGGAAAGTGGAAAAAATGCGAAATTCTTGAGAATATTTCCATGGATATTGAATAATCTTAAAAAATATTATTAATTAGCTAAACTTACCGATCAGGTGAAGGTACATAACTGAAAATTTATAGCAACAAAAATAAAAAAAAGATTAGCAGTAAACTCACTATTCATGTTTTATTACTAAAAATCTGTACTGAATGAGATAAAAACACTGATTTTATTGATGACCAAATTATGATAAAGTGTAGGTATCATTACCAAGATTTGACTTGATAATTTCAAATAAATTGAGCATTGGATAGATTGTTATAAATAAAACAATATATTTGTAGCATCCCAATGAGTAGAAAAAATAGATTTTCTAACGTTTCGTGACTTGGTGCAAACTACTTCTTCATAGAACGACTTACCAAATCAGAATAATCCGAGTTTAAATAGTGTAAAGTAACAACGCAAGAATATTATGACCTTGCGTTGTTCCTTTGTACTATTTAAACTCGGATTAACTTTGATTTGGTAAGTCGTTCTCTGAAGAAGTAGCTTGCACCGAGTCACGAAACGTCAGAAAATCTAGTTTTCCTACTCAATGGGATGTTACAAATGTATTATTTTATTTATGATAAAATGGTATATAATTGAATTGTTATTACTGTGAAATCAAATAAGAAAGCACTGCGAATAGACTTTGGCAATTTCACTTTGGATCTTCTTCCTTAGTCCATATCTTTTTATCCCATAAATGATAGTAGTCAAAGCATTGTGGTATCATTCAATTTAATTGTGATATGGTGTGAATATTGTGTAATAACACCCACTTATGAGTTGCTTGGTAATGCAGGTGGGTCATGAACTCTTAGAAAAACTTTGAGAGATCATGAAATAATTTAATAATCATTATAAACAAATCACTTGACTGAACTATAAATAACAATCCAAATTATAAAAGACTATTCTTAATAATGACAGCTCTCGGAATTTTAAGTAAGATAACCAAATACAACTTCAAGATTTTATGATAAGTAATATGCAATTTTTTAATAAAAATATCCATCATGCTTGAAAAATCAACGTTTGTTTCAAACAATCCTAATTATCAATGTGTTGATTTGTAACAATCATGCCATTTAACTATTTTCTATCTTTCCCATAAACACTATAGTGCAATCGAAAATATTACGAAGGATTAGCCTAATTAACTGCATATTCATCCGTTTACTTAAATCCTTAATTTATTTAAATGGTGATAGCTTCTTTATATGTAAAAATCTCATACTTCGCATTGACAAAAAAACATGCAAAATTTGTAAGTAAGAGAACTTTCATTTCTCAACGGAGAAGACTTATATTTCTTCAAGAAAAATGAGCTATACATGTCTAGATATTTTCAATGAATTGGAAAATAGGCCTAAATATATGATAAAGTGCCTTGTGGTTTAACACATTTGAAGGGTAAACACAGGTTAAGGAATTTATTATCTAGATTGCTAAATATTACCAATAATCACATCACACTCTAAAGTTAAAGTAAAACTGAACAGATAGTTTAAAAAAGAATAAAACTGATCAATAAGTCAATGTAGGCTTACTTCTAGACGTAGTCAAACAGAAGGTAATATAAAGAAACCATTTTCTTTAAAATTAGTCGTTAATTGCAGTTAATATAATAGAGCCTAATTCAGACAAGTCAGCTACATTTCCGCCAACCTTTGCTTAATAACTGTAGTAAACGGAGGAAATATTTAATTTATCTCTTACTATGAAAAATCTTACCCCCAAATCCCTTGGAACGACCGAGAGGGAGAAGAGATCGCTCTACATCTCGGTTTGGGCCTCTATGCAGTTTCTCAGCCTAAACTCGAACTAAAGGATTTTTGTGTGGTGCATATATATTTGGTGGCCCCATGTATAAATATTCATATATTAAAATGATAATAATAATAATAATAACAGTAATAATAACGGAAAAACTAGGCACTGCGCTCATATGCCTAAACGCCAAAAACAAATTTCGTCTACGTGACAAAAGATCATCAGGTTCTTTTACTTCAGTAAAGTTGCCCGGATTACATTTTCAGGACCTAAACAAATGCCAACAGCGCGATATGAAAGCCTGACCACCACATCAACAGTAACAGTCGGTATATTAAGGACTGGATTTGACCAAACTTTGTTGAGACATGTGCATCTAGAGTGAGTTGCTTTGATGTTGACTGTAGTTACAAGTTTTAATAAATTTAAATTATGATTGGTGGTATAAACCAAGATGAGCGTTATGTGTTCTCATACCCATTGAACAAATAAACAGTAAACTGAACATAACAGCTCAATAAATAACGTGTGAAGAAAAAAGGTAATAGGTTTGAGTATCAGTTTAAACATCAACTCTAGGAACCAGATGATGAGTCCAAAATAAGACGAAACGTGCGTCTTGAATTTTACTGCTAGCTACATTAATCATGCTTAGCAACAACTACAATGATTTCAATTTATCTAATAACTTAATTTTTAAATTAAAATTCTTTTTAACCGTGTTAAAGAAAGGTAAATCCCCAACGCTACTTAACACAGAATTATAGGTGAAGATACATAGAAAAATCAAAAACATTTCTCTTTAGTCAATTACCTAATACATAATTATTTTACGCTTAGTATGAAAACAATATATACATATAAACTAAGCTTCAAGAAACATCGTAAATAAAAAAATCAAGTAATTCACAACTCACTAATAATTTATTTTTAAAAGAAATAGTCTCTGACCTAATACCGTGTGCTAGATAACAGGAAAAAAATGATGTTGAGGAGAGATACTCACAAAACGAAGCTATGAAATAACAACAGCTGCATTATGATTGCAAAAATCATCAAACAGAGTAATTACAACAAACCATATTTTCAACTGTGAATGTAGGTTCAACGAAGAAAATGCATATTACTTGATTTACGAAAATAACTCAGTTAATGACCAGTATATCAGTTTTATGGAACAAATTTCAATTCAAAATAATTCATGATAAAAATTACATCAAAAGTAAAAACAAGGAAACTGATTACACAGTAACCAATATTTCTAATAGAAACAACCTTAGAAAACTATCGACGAAATGAATTCAAACCCACCTCTCAGCATTACAACATAATAAATGTCGACAACTGTGCTGATTACTGTTTAGAACATAAGGATCCGCTTCAAATGCCAATAATGCACGAATAATATGAATCGATGCATTATACTGAAAAAGAAAAAAAGTGATATTCACGCATGAATGTATGTGTATATGTATTGGAATCTCGTGAAAAACATTTAAAATGGAATAGAAGAACATGAACCTAAATAAATCAGATATATATAAAATTATATGTCTATTTACCTATACTTTTTCCCACATTATTTATTAACGTCATAATTTAATCTAGAATTGAACAAATACTAGTAACTTCATCAATTTTGTTTATTTATAATGACCATTACTAATCAGATGTTTGACTACTGACGATCTCTCTCTCTCTGTATATATATATATATATATATATATATATATATATATATATATATATATATATATATATATATAACCTCGGTTTTAAGGTGAGGATAATGCCTTTAAACTGTATTAGTTAAAATCCAAAAATCTTGAAACTAATAGAAAATGCACGACTAATGAAAAACACTTCATCTGGAGCAATGTAATAACTTGCTAACAACATTTAATGAGGATCGTGTTATCTTATAAACTGATTATAATTGAAAATATAGAATATTGAATTCCGATTTCGTAGTCTAAGAATACGAAATAAGTGATAAATGGTACGTACAGGGTCAATGAAAAGTCGATTAGTTATCTGAGTACGGAACCAGAAGTAATTAAATTTGATGCATCTAAGTTACGAGTATATCTAATAATGAATTTATTGATATAAATATTACTAGGTGTTACATTATTGTCCATAATTAAAATAAAAACAATAAAGCTTACAGTCATGGCATAATGTAAAGGAGTTGCACCACTAGCATTACGTAAATTTGGATCAGCACCACGAATTAATAAAGCCAAAACATCTTCGAAATTATTATCGCGTACTTTCATATGTAAAATAGTCAGTCCTAAATCATTGCGTGCATCTAAATTAGCTCCAAGTTCACACAGTCTTTCAAAGATCTATAGATCCAAAACAAAAAAAAAACAAATAATTTTTCTTTTCAAAAAAAGAAGGAACTAAATTTAATTAGTCAGAAGAAGAATACTGATTTATTACCAAAAATAATTTCTCCGACAGATAACTGTAATAATAATAAAATAAAATACTGATCAATTTATTCACCGCAACCATTACTTTAGTCATGTAACAACACAAATATTGGACAATCGTTTTATTATTAATCAAAATATAATACCATAATAGAATTTATTGTTTTCCTATAAAAACAGATGAGGTACAGAATTGAAATATTATTCTTTCATTTTAAAGAAGAAAAAAAATCACTTAACTGATGACAACAGAACTCACTGACAACACTGGTTTAAATCAAAGCATTGTTAAAAACTAGGAAGCATCGGATAGTTGTTTTGGTTCAGAATGGAGACCCTTCTTTAATGTGCATTTATGACTTCTATTACAGATAAAGCTGAAGACTTTCAGACCCTGTAATGATCATTTAACCTATAGACCAATGAGTTGATACTTTAGTGGCGTACACATCCAACTCGAATCATTTTCGTAATATTATGTGACCACCACTCATTTGGTCAATCTGCAATGTAAAACTATAAAATTCAACGACCACCATCCAATCTACGATGCGATAAAATTGGATCAATATGAAAGACCTGGCAGCATAAAAGTAATCGAAGTATTAGAATAAAACATTCCAAATAAATTGAAAATTGAGAAGTAATTAGTGTATCAATGAAAATCTACCATATTACCAAATTAAAAATGCATTAGTAGCAACAGTCTAAATAATCACATCTCACATAATTTATTAAGCCGCCTGATTTATAATCCTAATCACATTGCTGATTTAAAGAATAATAGGCTTTCTTCGACTTTATATGTCTTCAGTAAAAATTTGGCTTAAGAATCAGTTTCGACAAAAAAGTGAACAACAAAAAGAACACATTACACAGAAGCTTAATCATCTAAATTTATTGTTTTCAAATAATCTTTAAGTATCTAGTCATAGATTATACCTGTATTTAGTCATATTTATTTTGTGATTTTTATTTAGTCATTCATTCAAGGAATTTCCAGTGAAAAAGAATATTCAGTAAATCTAGTTTCATGTAAAGTCACTAGATCACAATCTAGCATATTTTATTATCAGTTGATTAACATTCAGTTAGTCATTATAACGTTATACAAATTGTATTTGTTAATAATTTCAAACATCTAGTCAACAACACATTCTTTTACTAAACGTTTTATCTTTTTTTTTCTTTGAATTATTAAGGAAGAGTATCTATATTTGAATAGATTTACTTCTATGTGATGCATTGATTTTTCTTTCTGAGTATCTAATGTCAACAATATATCATATATCGTTTATGTTTATAACATTGGATGATGTACAGAATATCATGAATGTTAAGATAAAACTCTTTATATTTTATAGCTTGAATTGTATGGAATAAACAACATAGAATACAAAAGAACAATGCTTCTGGTTAGGGTTGTAACATACTTTTCAATATTACAGATAAGAATGTGAACTTTAAGGAAAAGTTATTCAGTCAGTTATTATGGACATACAGCCTGATGCAGATGAGTGTTTATACAAGTTTCTACTCCATATTACATAGTACGATAAAAATAGCAAGATGAATAGTTAAAAAAGGTCGAAATGACGAAAAGAAATTCTATTCAGGTTTTCAAGCAGTAAGCTATTATGAAAAGGGTATTAATCAACATATGCTCACTAGTGATTGGCTTCAAAAGGTATATCCTGGAGTTCTAGTGAGAAGCAGTGACCAGTGGAGTTCAACCAGGTCTGTTGTGAGATAGTAGTTCATGAAGACAATGGTGGATGTGTCGATCGATTTCGTGGATTAGTTGAAGTTAGACATTAACACCATTGGATGCCGGCTAGCTCAGTGGTCTAGTGGTTAAGTGTTCGTGCACGAAACCAGTAGGTCCTGGGTTATTTATTATTTATTTATTTCAACACATAGATATTGGTACAAAGAGGCACCAAATACATATGCGCCACACAAATCTCATTCGACATGTGTGAGAGCTGTGATACTGCCCGGGTGCCCAAACCGAAACAGGTGGTTTTCTTAGGGGGCCACACCCCGAGCCTTCGACCTGAGGGTCTGATCCACAAGACAGTGGAGCATCGTAAGGAGATGCAGTCCCATGGTAGCCGGTGACCAACAATTGGTTCATACGCCATTTGTTCCCGCAGGATACTGGAGCCCATGTGCACCATTGGTTTGGAATCCGGTTAAAGCGCCGGACATTCGCTTTTCGTCCTCTCATTTTCGTGAACAACACCCCCGCCACGAGAAGGCAGTGAGTAGGACTCCCCTGGCAGGGGCTATATACGCGTGGCCATGTGAGAGCATTTCGAGAGGGAGAGCGGACTCTCCCTGGGTTGGAATCTCGCAGGGGGCGAGGTCGTGGACACACACTGCTGAGGAGTCTCACAATAGGACGAGACGGCCGTTCAGTGCTTCCAGGTTTTCCATGGTGGTCTAGCTTCAACTGACTGATGATCTTAACCATTGAAATTATTATGAAAAGGTTAGTAATTTGATATACAAATTGAAACATTTGACTATAAGAGTGAATTATGGTGAAATATCAATTAGTAAACATGTCATTAATATTGAAAGAAAAACTATTCAAAATTATGCATAAAACTGAAACTATATGTCTAGAAAATGACAAATTGGATATATTTTTTAACAAAAAACCTACGGACTTTTTTAATGGCAACATCTTTACTCTTTTAAAAAGAAAAGTGAATATTACTTTATTGAATATATATATTAACAGTTTAAGTAATAAAAAACCAAATTCATGCAACAAGAAAAGAAAAATCTTATGTTTATGATGAAAACTAGACAAATGTTAATCTACACATAATACTCATACATTGTATGCAAGGAATCATATGGAGTTAATGCTTATTTATACAGTGGCATATTCACCTGAAAAGCAACCTTAAGATGATAACACAAGCTAGATTTTTACTCAACACAAATATATATATATATATATATATATATAATACAGAAATACAGAGAATAAACGTACTACATGATTTTACTTCAAACAAAGATTTAATGTGATAGTATTGAAAAGTTTAATACAACTAGATTTTTTATTATGATTAACTAACATAAGACTAGATGCTTAAAACTATAAAAAAATGCTGGGTTTTTTTAAGCAACATACAAACGCGTAGGTTTGTAAGGTCATTTTCATTGTGTAAAAACCAACAAAGAAATCAATTACATGACTTGATAAGATCATCATCGATAATGAGTAAAGTTCAATACAAAGATAACTGAATTAATGAAATATTATTTTTAAAGGTAGACCCAGTTACAAAACACAGACGAACTTTCATAAGGAAGTTAGAAAGCCTTAATTATGTATACATCAAATGAACTGTTACAATCCTGTTAATTATGTAATGTTTCATATAAGTATTTAAAAAGTACCATTTAATATGAGAAAGTTGTTTACCAGGACATTTAGCCATAATATTTTTAACCGCTAGACTAATAACATGTCAAAAGTTTAAAAGCCGAAAAAATTCACATTAATGATTTCAAAAAACGTACTTTTGATATGCATTTTGTCGACTATAGAGAACAAATACGACAAACTATTCTTTAAAAATGTTTTACCATACTATAAAATCAAATTTAATACAACTGATTAGTGTAATGTTAGATTCTAGTCAGTCAGTTAATTCTGGACACCATAGCTGCTGGGCAAAATTTATATTAGCGTAATAACAGAAAAATAACATGAGTATGAACAGAAGTAGTATCAGTGATAATAAGAAAACTGAACACAAAGGACTTAATGAGAAAAGACCAATGAAATTGCAGAACTAATCGGATAAATAACAATAAAAATCAGAAGAAAGTTAAAGAATGACTACATCATTGCAACTGCGATTGATTTCCTACAAAGTTATCAAACACTACCAAACCTTATAGTGTGATTACAATGCAAACCTTGACAGGGAAGTTTGAGGCTCGTTAATCACCTCACTCAGACAGTCAATGACTTCATGTCTTGAGTTAATTAGTGGTAAACGCTTCATGACCTACTCATGTTAACCAATACTGCAGAAAGCAATAAAGGGTGACTGGGTAAATGAACCAAATATAAATCATATCATTTAATGGAGAAAACAGCATTCAAAGGAGCTAAAACTATACACCGAATACCGCGGTGCGCAATGTTGACTAATGTTGGAGACGAATGGAAGAACGTTAGGGGCGGCCAAATCAGAACGTCGCATCACCCCTTGAAATCACTAACGTCTAGTCTGAGTCATGTTGGTAGATGCAAACTACTCAGTTGGGGTCCGCCCAACTATCGTAACCGATGGTTGCAGACTTTGCGTGGCTCAAAACCGACCACAATGGCGTAGTTGTATACACTCTTTGTCTTCCTTTAAACTATACGATTAAAATTGTTTTATATCTTTCTTTCTACCAACTAATTTTTACTTTCTGTACTATATCAATATACGCAATCTTTTTTTATATTTTACGACCATTGAATTAACTATTTCTATGAATTCGGTATTCATCTTGTTATGCTAATGAGGTGTGGCAACTTGGACCGATGCACATATGTGCCTGGTCCTACGTTGTAGCTGACTGACTATTAACGAAGAATTTACTATATATTGTGAATAAGTCATATCGACTAAATATATATAGTTGACATAACACATATAACCTTACATCAGTAAAATTAATTTTCAACATGTCTATTTAAATATTTTTCTTTATACATTTTGTATTGATTTTTAAATATGATGTGATATCTAGGACTAATTAACAGTAATGATTAATTCATCATCATGAAATTTTCAACAGTATAAGTACCCAGTACAGATTAAGGAAACTTTTTAAACAATATGATGAAATACATAAAACAAAAAATCCAGGCAGGCACTATCCATGAAAACAATGATTAAACACATGTTTTAAAATTCTTTAATTATGCACAACTTATGTGATAAAAAAACAAGAGAGGTATATATCTTCACGTTGTTACATTTGCATTAGCACATAATGATAAAACTAACAAAAATGGAAGAATATTAGCATTCACACGGATGTACCCCGATGAAAGAATACGTCAGCTTGAAAATGGTGTTGTAATCTTAACCTTTATCAAGGAAAATAATACGAAGGCATACAAGCTGTCTTAAATACAAATATAGAATAGTAATACATGTGTATAGAACAATTACGATATCTAGGTGGGGGATTCAAACCCGATATGACTGAGGAGAATCGAGCCCAGTAGTCATCCTAATTTGATTGTAGAATGAGTGACCTACAGAACTCTTCAACTAAGTCTGTTTCTTAAATCACATCAAATTACGCATATCTTTAATTTAGATGTTTTGTATATAAGTGTCATTTTACTAGAAGTAAACGTATTCTACTCTCAAATCACCATATCCTTGTACGTCAGCTCATTTGGTTTCTTACATCCATAATTTGATGTCATAAGAAGTCATCAGTTAGCCATATCGTATGATATATCAAATAGCATTATGTACGTCATTTTAAAAATACTGAAATGTGCATAATCGTCATCGTTAGAACCTGTAAAACTCTCCTTCAAAACAGAGCCCTATTGCAGTAAAAAAAAACTTTTCTGGTGCATAACTGACAAGGGCAATGATATAACAAATTTTACTAGCTCTAGAATGAGATGATCAATAATTAATGGTCTATTATAGGAATGCTAGTATTATTAAGTTTGCTACTTGAACAGTTGTTATTAATGTCCTAAGCGCTTCCTACAACCCTAGACTACTACACTGAAACTCAAATACATAAAATTCAAGTAAACGTTTTACTTCAAGACTAATCTATGTGCAGATAATGGAGTGTATAAGTTTTTAGATAACCTTGATCTTCTAGGGACTTCCGAAAAACTACTATATGTAGCACCAGACTAGGTAATTATCCGATCGAAATGTGATACATAATCCTTTACTTTTCTGCATGCTTCTGAGAAACATCCGTTCAATACTGATAGAATAAAACGTTTTTAGTCACTATTTCGGCTTCCGAGGATTTTATCGAAGGATATTTGTGAACCCCCAACAAATACCTTTACAGTAATCTCATTATCTTACTTCTGCATTTTTGTAAGCCATTGTGAAGTGTTTACAAAAACAATAGCGAAGTTACTACATACTTGTCTTATCACGTGATAATTACATAGATACATATATATGTTGGATTTAAACACCATATTATAAACCTCTAATAAGTAAATTTTTTTAGAAATTATTACATTTTAGAAAATGTATCGTCAGTCCGAACAAAAACAACAAGAACTGATGAATAAGAATTTATATTGTACACAACTTCTGAATAAAGTTGACTAATTAGAAAACGATTTAAAAAAACAAGTCGCTTTAGTTAAATGATACTAATGACGTTTAAGGCTGACAAAAAATGTTGGGAAATAGGGAATAATATGAAGACAATACGAAAATCCAATTAATTATTATAACATTCGGCATTCATTTAAAAAATATTTTGAGGAATTTAGTCTTGAATATATTTTTCTCAAAAAGTCACTTAGAAATATTATACAGGACTAGCATATTATGTTCGTTTACATACACCTATAGCTAACCGTCGTCACGGTAATAAACAGCTTGTTCGATATTTATCTTCAGATTATCTTGAGTGTACAAGAGAGAATTTATTTCTCTATTGACGTAGTGAAACAACATGTTTGAAAGTATAAGATATAAGTAGAGTGTAGCGTACTTACAACTGATACTAAGCATAATATACCTGATAAGTATGGGATAAGTGCCAAGTATCAACAACCACGAGCTACTTCATGTGTTGTGTAAACTGGTGTGGAATTAAGTTGGATAAAAGCTGTGAGTGGACAGAACAAGAAAGTGTACGTTCATAAAATTATTGACTTAAGGTGAACAATGTAACAATGGATGTACACTTTTTCATTGGGGTTCGGTAGACGAACGTAAGCTACGTTCAAAGACTTTAGATGGTTCAAAATTGATACCAACTTCTCAAATGCACTCAATTTTTTGGCTTCTAAGGATGAAATATAGTACTACTGTACATACCTCACTATTTATTTTTTATTGTCTTCATATTTTGTCTTCCGGTTCTTAGTTACAGTTTATATTCTGATATTCACTTATTTGCACTTCCTGTGATTAATTTCCATTGACTTGAGGTGTATCAACTTGAACCGACATACATGTAAATGATTTTCTAAATAATTTCTACCTACCGCTAATTAGAAAGCTTTTTATTTAATTGATTGAAGTTCTATTTCGATTAGCATCTATGTAGTGAAGTTTAAACAAAAACATTTTATCAATCCATAAATTCATTGACTTTTGAAGCAAAGTGGATTTGAAGGTACAAATTCACACAGTTGGACCTAACGAGATAATCATGATCAGTGGTTGGAGACGTCAAGTAAAATGACTCAAAATCTGTTGCAGTAATACATGTGAATTCTTTTTATACCTTTCCTCTAGCTCTTAATTTTCAGTGTCATTTCATACTTTTGTTACACGAATACAATCCCTTCTAAATTGTATTCTTAATATTTAATTATTTTTACCACCACTAATGCCACTATTATTAAGACTCCCTTACTATACATCAATATCAGGTTCATCTTTCAGTGCCGATATCGTGAAACAACTTGAGCTGATGTGTGTTTATGCCAGGTTAAATTCTTTTGACTGACTAATATACTGAAAACTACCCGCTTCATATTTAAAGTATTTAATTTTTGGTCAACAAATTAAGAACTTTATCTAATTCCATTTAAATCAGATAAATGCTATCATCAGTCAGTACATTAAAGTGTGGTTCAAAATAGAATACAATAATTTATAACTACTTACTTTGTTGCATTAAACTAGATTTCACAATTCTCCAAGGAGTTTATTTAGATAAAATGTACAACGTATTTATTTATTAAACTGTCATGACTGTATATTATTATTATTGTTATTATTATGATCAAATACTTACTTTCGGATTACGCACCAAATGAATTGGAGTATTATGATTTATTAAATCAGGTAGATTGATACAATTAGGACAATAGGTGTAAAGTAGATTAACACATCTGTATGATTCATAACGTAGAAAAAAGAATAAATAGAATAAACATTATTATTATTGACAACTACTATTATTACTAATGAAAACCAGATAGAATACAATTGTCGAGTACAATTAATTTATAATACACGATTACAATATAGAATTTCAAAATAAAAAATATGTAGAAGCGCTGGTGAGGTACAAACTTTTACAATGAAAAGATTTCAAGTCGTGAATTACAAATCTAAAAAAGAAAACCTATCATTTAACTGAACAAATGCATTAAATATTACATGAAATCAGATGAAATTTCTCTCCGACTTTGTATTATTCATGTGTCACTATGAAATCTGATTCCGTTAGTAAAGACGGAAAAAAACGAACGGTTTAATGAAATCAGTAGTGAAAATAAATTAGAATAGTATTATTAATAACTAGGTGGAAAGTGACATACATATTTGAATATTACAACGCATCATTCATGATTTCAGTAATTCATTACCAACATCTTTGTCTGAAACTTTAAGAAGCCTTTAAAAACATCAAAAGTGTCTTAAAAAGGTGAATTATAAATAGCAAAAAAACAACAGAAAATACAGGTTACAACTTCAAAGTAATTCCATTGGAATAGATCAACATTTCCTACACCTTCGGTAGCGATCCAACAAAATCCGAATTGTTAGAATTTGTTAGTTCTTAAAGACGTTCAACTAACAATTGATTTCACAAAACTTGAATTTATTTTCAATGGTTCGTTCTTATGACCAGTATATGCCTCAAAAAAGTGCTCGTTCATGTTTCTTCAGTGAAATGAGACAATAAAAAAAATTTACCATGAGATTGTTTTTCATGGTCTTGGTCATAATTTCTTTGATGAATCAAGATCGTCTCATGACAAACAACAATGAGTGATGAGTTAGACTATGTGTTTCTATACATATGCATGCTTATTTATGAATTATTATTATTATTATTATTAATGGCTTTATTCAATATTATATTTTGGTACAATATAGAATTCTCAGCACAGGGTATTTCAACAAGTTACTTACTGAAAAAAAAACGAACAAATAGGCAGTAGCAAATACAAAAAGAAATTTAAAAAAAAAATTTTTAAATAAATTTTAAAAAAAAGACCAAAAAAAAACTGTGCAAACTTTTTAAAATTAAAGACATGTTAAGAATGTAAATTATTAACTAGGTTATTTCTAACAACCTGTTCGTCACATAGTATATTTGCTAGGTAAGGTATTATAGAACTTTTATACCTTTCCTTACGTGCATGGATTTTAATGTAATTACGTCTCGTTCTACCAGAAGATATACAAGGAGAAAGATAAGAGTGAAGGGGATGGCTAGTATCTGATAAAATAACACCTGCCAGGAGTTTGCATGATTTTAAATGTCTATCAACAACCATATTAATTATGGCCTCGAAAGATTCACCACACATCTTGCTAACTGCCTTCAGCACTCTTCGCAATACAGCAAAGTCTTTTCTCAAAAGCCCGGGAAAGAATAATGGAGAACAGTAAAGAATAATAGGTAAAATGCAAGAATTGACAAATTGTAAGAGTAAATGACGAGTAATCCCAAGAGCATGCAATCTCTTTATGTAGTAGGTCAGACGGAAAACCTTCTTCGATAACGATAAAACGTGGGAAGACCAAGACAGATCAGAGGAAAAGGTGACACCAAGATAATTGACCTTCGACACTGAGTTTATGAAAGAGTCTCCGATGGCACAAGCATTATGGGATCTCAAAATGGTGTTTATATTCCGTTCATGTCTCATGCTAAAGTTAACAGCTTGACATTTAGACGGATTAAGTATGAGACCATTACCAACAGACCAACAATCAATACGAGACAAAAACTCATTCATTTCTACGGGATGTAAAGAGGAAGATATAGGCATACATACAGTGAGATCATCCGCATACTTCACAAAAGTGTTTTCTGTGGAAGATGGCAGGTCATGCAGAAAAAAAGAGAATAGAAGAGGTGAAAGAACAGCTCCTTGTGGTACACCTTCCTGAGACAGTAGAGACTCCGAACACTTTCCTCCAAACACAGTGTACTGTTCCCTTCCAGAGAGGTAGGAACATAGCCAGTTGGTTATCCAGCTGTCAGTGTTGACGCTGATTAACTTGTTAAGTAAACGTTGTCTTGGTATAGAGTCAAAAGCTGAAGTATAGTCCAGAAAAGCACAACGAACATACTTCTTACCCTTTTCTAAGTTGAACACTATGTTGTGATGCAGAACTGCAACAGCATCTAAAGTGCTTCTTTTGCGCCTGTATACAAACTGGTATAGGTCAGTATGCTCTTTTATCGCAAGCTGAAGTGGAAGTATTAATAATTTTTCCATGGTTTTGAGGAAGGGTGAAGTTATTGCAATAGGTCTAAATTTTATATTCTTATCACCAGATGCTTTCTTGGGTACAGGAATTATCTTCATCTTTCTCCACGTTTTCGGTATGAGATTAGATGAGAAGGATCTGTTAAATATAGTTGTGAACGGATGACACAGAACGTCAGCACATTTTTTAAAAAGGATGTTTGGGATACCATCAGGTCCCAAACATCGAGATGAATTAAGCGATCGGAGACATCCTCGTACATCAGTTTCAGTGAAAGTAGGAACACAGCTATTTTTTAAACCCGTGGATAGAGGGAGCATCACATCAGATGACTGACGAACAAAAGACTTATTTAAGTCACTAACATTCAGCTGGTTATCGCTTCTAAACTGTCTGTCGCCTGTAAGTTCTTTAAAGAGTTTCCACATACTTGGAGTGTTTCTGCAAGATAAGAGCTTTTGAGTAAACATGCAGTTGAGACGTCTAATCTCTAGCTTTATCAGACCATTTAGCTTACGAACTTCATTAGAGTTCTTCTCCTTGTACATTCTTTCTTTTATCGTTCGTAGTCGTTTTAGTTGTGTAGATGTAAATCGATCAAAACTTACAAAAATGGTTTCAGTGGGACAGCAAATATCAAAACAGAATTTAAGGTAACAAGTGATAACATCAGTAGTGTTTTCGAGTGAGTCATCTGTAAATAATTCCCAGTTTGTCGTATGAAACATGCTTTTCAGATTTCGGATATTTTCTTCTGAGTAATTCCTATATTTGACTTTCTTGGTTTGACGTAAGAGTGTACTCTTCTCATGCTTTCCATATACTTTAGGTAGAACACGAATTATACAGTGATCTGAGCTAGACAATGGAGCACGTTTACGAGTCGCATATATACCCACATCATTAATGAAGACGAAGTCTAGATAAGCATCCAAACGGGTAGGAAAATCCACTACATTTTGGTGACCCAGTGACGTAAGGAAGCTACAGTCACATGAATTGAAGTCACCATATACAATTGAAAGTGAATCACTGAAGGCAGTAACAGCGAACTCAGTGAATTCATCAGCAAAAACAGATAGTGCAGATGATGTGCAATCTGGAGTAACGTAGATATTGGTAACATAAACATATTTGTATTTATTTAGATGTTTTGGACGACATCTTAGAGTTAGACAGTCGATAAAGTCATTTGAAAACTTAAAACACACAAACGAAGATCGACACCAGTTTATGTTTACAAACGTAGCTACACCGCCACCACACCTCTTTTTATTGTTCGATCGATCCTGACGATAAATTTTAAAATCACGTAGTGATACAAGGCAGTCATCCTGTAAACCATTCAACCAAGATTCTTGAATTGTGATGACACCACAATTACGATACGTATTTTGACTAAGTAGGAATTGCAGATAGTCCACTTTGTTGATTAGTGACCGGCAGTTAGAATTAAGAAGCTCGGGAATCGACATACGATTAATGTTCAGTCTCTTTAACGCATATTGCCAACCACCACGATGTCTTTTATAGTACTTTTTCGTAACTTGTGCAGCGAAAGGTCGTAAGCTTTTCATAAAAGCGCCTGAATAGGTTATGCGATTAATGGACATAATTATAAATTAAAACAAATAAAAAAACAGATAACTTGTTGAAATAATCAGATGGCAGAAACAGGTAGCCCAGATATTCAAGCAGGCCGCCGTTACGAATGGCCTAACCCAAGACAGTTAACTACTTGCATACTAACAATTGAATTCAAACAATACTATATGAAATAATTATTTGTGAAATAAGAATTACATGACATTTTTAATTTTGCCAACTTGTTATTTGTTGAAAACATAGTTATTTAAAACCTAAACAGAATTTTAATAGAAATGACCAAGTAGCAAGCAAGTTAACAAAAGTTTCAGAAACATTTTCAGACCGAACTTTTACAAATAACAAGTGTTCAAACCCCTAACAGTATTGATCTTAAGATATAATAATAATACCACTGATAATACTAATACTACTAATAATAGTAATAGTGATAATAATAATAATAATAATAATAATAATAATAATAATAATAATAATAATACGGAATCTACTGGTAATTGGTAGAAACAGCAGAAGTAGCATATCATAACCTGATGCATGGGCAAGAATGATTATGATTGGTTGTTTTTTTAGTCAGACTAGTAGATAGTCTGACAGGTACTAAATGAGTTATATATTTTCTTACCCTTATTATTGTTGTGATGGTTGTCAGTTTTGGTGTGGAAATATACTTACGTTATATTCAGGCTAGTCACGTGTTCTTTATGTGAGTTGCGTTGATATCCTTTAGAATAGACAATGGAAGGGTATTTAGTGTAGATATTCGTCTAAGGCAAATTAACGTCCCATACGTGTAGACCAGCAAACCGAGCATTACAACAGTGGTGACGGTGCTTAAAACGGATCTACGCCTATATATTCAGTTAAAGCGGATTTTGTAACAATAAAATGGATGATCTGAAATCTTTATTGCAACATCAAAATGCTCCCATCGAATTATTGGTTAAGAATATGTAAGTATCCACAAAAACCCAAATATCTAATTACACTATGACTTCGGATTCTATTGCAAATTCAATAAATGAAATTAGATTTGGTCCAAAAAGTGAAATTACTTTTGAGGCGTGGTTTAAGCGCCATGAGGATCTGTTTATTAATGACTGTAGAGTGCGACGAAGGTTCGTAACTAAGATTATTACTACGACATCTCGGAGTTTCTGAACATAAAAAGTTTTGCAATTTTATTCTCCCAAAGAAACCAACCGACACAACCTTCAGAGAACCAGTACAACGCCTGACACACATATTTGGAGAACGATCATCAGTCTTCCACAATAGATACCAGTGTATCCAACTTGTGAAAAAACCATAGGAGGACTTTATGACGCATGCCAGCATCGTGAACCTGGATGGTGAGAGGTTCCGGCTACAAGAAATGTCTTCAGATCAGTTTAAATGCCTCTCAATACTTAGCCTTTCTCATTATAACCGCTATTATATTACTTTGATTCCCTCACTACCTATGTTGTCTTAGGTCAACGCAATTCGGTTTCAGGCTTTACGTTGACTATGACTGACGACCGACATATGGACGACATATGCACGAAACTCGGGTCCAGGGTTTCCTGTTGACTACCTCCAACCACCATCTAAATCTCAATACATAGTGCCCGCACTGTCGAGTCACCTAGACTGGTGGCCACATCGCAACATGATCGATAGCATTCGATCTGCACTAATAAGGACTAGACAAGCATGAAATTGATCACTACCCAGTGATCAATCAATTGTGATTACATATGGAATCTATTCACATCGGCGGAAATCGATACCTGATAAATCATTATTCTGTCTTTAAAAATAATTTCGGTAATTTCACAAGTCCATTAATTTAGCAATCATAACATAATGAAATATTCCCTAGTGTAAACAAACTCGTGGTGTCATTAAGCAAGAAAACATACTGAAGTACACACATAGAATGAAACCTTGCACAGTTTTTCTGAGTTTTCTATCTTTTACAGTAAACCTTAAGTCCAAATATTCAACAATGCACAATGGTTATCCTACTACTAAAACACAGACAACAACAGCAAAACATAATATTTGGACTTTACAAGAAGCTGAAATAGTGTATAACTTTGTAGAGTCATTAATGACAACCTAATAGATTAAAATGGTAAGCGAAAATCAAGTCTATTGAAATCTAGTGAACAGATATTTCTCCTAAAAATAGTGATATTGCTGTAACTACCCTCGACTAACGTCATTCACAATTATCAACTTGCCCTCCTATATATGTCTAAACATGAAAACAATTAATGCAAATCAGTAAATATATACATATTTGTAGATTGATTTATCAATTAAATATAATGCATGACGATTTATAATAATACCGAACAACCTGACTCATAGATCCTTACATTGTTCTTTGAAAATATGATTCTATAGTTGAAGATTGAATACTTAAACTGTTAAGCTCAAACCTTATGATCTGCATAGATGTATGCAACCATAGACCTCAAATACAAGCCATTTCTTTAGAAATGATGACATACAGAAAGCAATTTCACAGTAAACTTACTCAAGTGAATCATTATTGACAGCAATATGAATAGGAAATGATTCAAATTCACCAATCATAGGATTACCACCAGCTTTAAGCAGTTTTTCAATGCATTCCATAGAATTATTACGACAGGCAATATGTAAAGGAGATTCACCTTTGTTATTCAAAGCATTCACATCTAAGCTTTGAAGATTATCAAGAAGTAGCTGAATATCAACCAACGAGGAAACAAAGAGAAAATAGAGAAAAATGAAGATGAGAAGTATCTAGGAAACTGATTTCTTTTAACGTTTCTCTGCCTATTTCTATCTACACTTTTCTCGTCAAACGTCGGTAAATCGATGGTAATTTCGCATTTAAAGACAAATTAGTAATTAAGTTTAGACGTATTTTTGTAAGGATATTTAATTATCTGGTCGTCTGTTTTCAAAAAAATCAATTTTCTCAAATTTTTCACATTATTTCATCATATATTTGACAGAATTCAACGAAACAGGCAATCAGAAATAAAGAACGGAAACAGTTGAATATAAATAAAAGTTTTTTCTTTATCAACTAACTGATTTTAGCAATTATACCTGCATACAAGACTACAACTTGTCACAGTAAATATTCACCTTTCAGAAGTAACATCCAATAGATATGCCTTATATATATATATATATATATATATCCATCTTTACACAACGCTTAGTAAGCAGAAATAAAGCAGAAACGTGATTCGTGGCTTAATAAATACAATGTGGCCACCAACGTTAATATAACTAGTTAAGTAGATTAAGTCACCTATATTTTAACACCACACTGGTCATGTAGAAGGTCGAATAAAAACTATCCATAGTACCCTCTATATCATCTAAATGTTTAAAATGTTTGAGATACATTTGCACTTTTGTTACAAATGCATGCAGAGAACTGCATATGAACAATCTTAATAACATGAATGAGGTTCAAAAGACATGTCATAAGCCAAATCAAGAATACATGAATTGAACAGTTCCAATAAAAATCACAAATAAAGACGAGTTTAGAGTTTTGAATGTCATAATCTTATCATTAATTATTAGAATTCAAATTAAAGCACCGATAATAAGAATTTTCTGATTAAAAAACAATTTAATGATACACTATCATAGGTTATTTTAATCTGTTGTACTAACTGTCAAGTTAAAGTAAGGAATTATGGTCATAGTATGATACGTTGATGAGGTTCCGGTATCCAGCTAGCATCCATCTAGCTACTAGGTCTTAAAATCCTGATATTATCCCTCTTGTTTATCAGGAAATACTAAGTGATCAAACAAGACTATAATTGACTACAGAATTAGACTGTACTAATATTACATCAAGTTAATAGTAATATCAATGATCGTGAATTGGTTGAAGTAAGACATTAGCACCGTTAGATGTTGAGTCAGTGATCTAGAGGTCAAGCGTTCACGTGCGAGACCGAGGGCCCTGGGTTCGAGTCCCGAGTCAATAAAAGTGAATACTAAATCAGTTCAATAACACGGTTGTATAGTACCAAAAAGTCTGAGAACATAAAGAACGTTAAAGAAAACTGTTTCTTCGCCACAAATTTGTATTAAAGGACTAAAATCTGGTCAGTGAAAATATTAGAAGTCTGTCTCAGTAAAAACCGAAATCTCTTAAAGTCCAATACGATCATGAGATCGAATCTAAAAAACAGATTAAATAAGTCTTACAACAACAAAACTTAAAAAATATAAAATGCAACTTAAACTGGAAAGTCATTATTATTAGTTATTGCTAAAACGGTGAAACGTAAGTAATGAACAGTGAAACTTGGTCCTTTTATAATCACCTTATCAGTAAAACATATAAACATACTACAAATCCAAGTGCGTGCGTAAAATATACACAATCTCAATCTCAAACCACTACTCCAACCACCCTATAGTTCACATATATGAAAATATTGTTTTCACAATTATGACTCACTGTGACATTTAAGTACTGCAAAAGCTGAAAAGTGCCTAAATAAAATCTTCAACGCCAAAGAGTACCTAATTACTCTCACCGAAAACTATTATAAGAAGAAAGAACAACATAAATACAACAAATAACCACATAAGCTTGTTTAACCCCACATACAACAAGAATATCTCAAAAACAACCATTCAATAACTTTGCTCTTTTAAAGCAACAGTGGAACGCAAACAGATAAAATAATTCCAGAATATTTTGTCTAGACTAAAAGATTTAGTCTGAATAGTAGAATGAAGAACTGACAGTAATGATTGTCAACCATATGGCAATACAGATTATTAATATTTATCATGATGCTAAAAAGCACAGCTGAAAACAGTGGCACAACAAGAAATATCCTGTGCAAAACGAAATGGCGGCAAAAAAGAGAAACTGGAGAGGTAACAGAATATTATAATGATGAAAAGCCCATAGTACAGTTAAAACAGAGATACTCGTCACATAATCCACTTCACTTGAGTTTTTCTTACCGTTCATGAAGAATGTAGAAGTCATGATTATCAATGATTTCAACCCTAAGAGATTTTTCAATAACATCTGAAATGTAAATAGTATATGCATACTAGCCTTCAGTAAGACGACGTAATACATCCTCTCGGATACAAATCCACGTCAGCGGTCAAGATCTTATTTTTAATTGAGAACAGGTAAAGGACTCTACAGAATACAAACTCTACAGTGTCGAGAGGATTTTTCAGAGTCTGAGGATCGAATAGAACTGCAATTAAAGGACACTTTAAAAGTATAGCCTGGAATTTAACTAAAAAACTTGTTTGTCCCCCAGATGGCTCAAAACCGACTGAGTAAACCAATAATCAAGAATGATGGCACAAAGTCACATTGACTTTTTCCATCAACATGGTCTAATAAAAGTTAAGTTTCTCAAGTACAATTTGACAGAAACTGTCATTCGCCCATGATTTCGTAATTCCCAAAGTAGAAAAACATCTTAGCTGTTCATATTACTTAGGAATACTTCAATTCTTCAATAAACTAACTTTAAAGTTTCCATATTTGATAAAATAGTCATCACCAAATAAAAAAGTCCAGGTAAAACTAAGATATCTAACCTACAAATTATCCGCATTACTAGGAGTGATTAGCCCATTAAGGAATTCGAAATGAATTTTAATTAGATTAATTTATAATTATCATCGGAATAATAAGTGAAGATTAACTGGACATTCAGATGGTTAATTCTTATTACTTCATCCCGGGATTTTACTAAACTAAGCAACAAATGAATGAATTATTAGTTGTCGTTAAGTTTTTACGTTTCAGACAGACGATGACAAGTTTAATCTCATTTTAAAAAAAACGGGCTAGATTTTACACACTATTCAGTCAGTAGCTGAAAGTTCGTAAGCTCGAAAGTTACCAGAGACTAGTTAAACTAGGTGACATTTACTCTTTTTATGAAGATAAACACTAAATTCAAAGAACATGTCAGAAGGTAACAAGATTCAGTCTTTGGATTTAGTTGTATTATTGAAAACGAAGTTATGAAAAAGCTTATGAATACAACCAATAACAAGGCACATATGGTGAGAGATTGATTGGAATTCGGTGGCGACTATAGGGAACACAAGACAACTTTACAGACTGACGAAAGAAACTGGAATTAATAAGTCAAGTGTAAGTGAGATTATATCGGAAAAAGACGATACTCTCATCTATTCCCAGTCCAAATGTTTAGAACGATGGGCGCAACACTTTAGGGAACAGTTCAGCTGGCCTTCAGCTACTCTACAACTACCCTCCATTCCCAGACAAGGTGAATGGAACATTGAAGTAGGTCCCCCAACTCTTGCTGAAGTTCAAAAGGCTATAGATAATCTGAAACGAGGAAGGGAAGCTGGTCCAGATGGACTGGTTCCAGAAGTCTTTAAGGATGGTGGTCCAATTTTAGCTATTAGGTTGACTAATATTTTAGCTAAGATCTGGGAGTTAGACGTTATTCCATCTGACTGGTCACAATCACTTATCGTCCCAATATATAAGAAAGGGTCAAAATCATCCTGTGACAACCACAGAGGGATTAGTTTAACTAATATAATATCTAAAATACTAGCCTCGATAATTATCAGACGCCTAACTAAGACTCGTGAACTGCAAACACGAGAAAACCAAGCTGGCTTCAGACCTGGTCGTGGCTGCATCGACCACATATTCACCATTCGTCAGGTTCTAGAACATAGGCATACTTATCGGCGTCCGACGATGGTGGTCTTTCTTGACTTCAAAGCAGCATTTGACTCGGTAGACCGCGAGATTCTGTGGCAGTGTCTGTCATTGAAAGGCGTACCCCAGAAGTACATAAACCTTGTAAAGGCTCTTTACTCGAACACTACTAGTCGAGTCAGAGCTTATGGCAAACTGTCATCTACTTTTGCAACCTCAAGTGGTGTCCGTCAAGGATGTCCACTTTCCCCATTTTTGTTTAACTTCATCATAGACCTACTGATGGAAATAACACTTTCATCGACTGAATCCTCGGGTATTGATCTCCATCCAAGAGGTCCACTTAACAACTTAGAATACGCAGATGACATAGTCCTGTTTGGTGAAGACGCTGACAAAATGCAGAGTCTTCTGGTAGCACTGAGCAACAATGCCAGGATGTTTGGAATGCGCTTCTCTCCCTCGAAATGCAAGTTGTTGCTTCAGGACTGGTCTTCGTTAAAACCTGAACTAAGGATAGGGAGTGAAGTAGTCGAACGCGTTGACAACTTCACTTATCTTGGAAGTCTGATCAGCCCTAATGGGTTGGTATCGGACGAAATCTCAGCACGGATTCGAAAAGCTCGTTCGGCTTTTTTATTATTTTAACACATAGATAATGGTACAAAGAGGCACCAAATACATATGCGCCACACAAATCTCATCCGATATGTGTGAGGGCTGTGATACTGCTCGGGTGCCCAAACCGAAGCAGGTGGTTTTCTTAGGGGGCCACACCCCGAGCCTTCAACCCAAAGGTCTGATCCACAAGGCAGTGGAGCATCGTAAGGAGATGCAGTCCCATGGAAGCCGGTGACCAACAATTGGTTCATTCGCCATTTGTTCCCGCAGGATACTGGAGCCCATGTGCACCATTGGTTTGGAATCCGGTTAAAGCGCCGGACATTCGCTTTTCGTCCTCTCATTTTCGTGAACAACACCCCCGCCACGAGAAGGCAGTGAGTAGGACTTCCCTGGCAGAGGCTATATACGCGTGGCCGTGTGAGAGTATTTCGAGAGGGAGAGCGGACTCTCCCCACTCTCGGCCGTACCAGGGCATTTGGGGGCCGTTCGGCTTTTGCCAACTTACGTCACCTGTGGCGAAGGCGAGATATCCGTCTATCAATAAAAGGACGAGTATACTGCGCGGCAGTCCGTTCTGTTTTAATTTACGGCAGCGAAACATGGCCATTAAGAGTAGAAGACACTCGTAAGCTACTAGTATTTGACCACAGATGCCTTAGAAATATTGCTGGCGTCTGCTGGGATAATCGGGTAAGTAATAGTGAGGTTAGACGCAGGGTATTAGGAAATGATGGTAAATCAGTTGACGAGGTTATGAATCTTCATCGACTGAGATGGTTGGGCCACGTGTTACGTATGCCTGAACACCGATTACCACGACGTGCAATGCTATCCGGTATTGGAAATGGTTGGAAGAAAGTTAGGGGCGGCCAAACCAAAACGTGGCATCAGTGCTTGAAGTCACTAACTTCTAGTCTGAGCCATGTTGGTAGATGCAGACTACTTGGTTGGGGTCTGCGTGACTATCGTAACCAATGGTTGGAGACTCTTGGTGACATGGCTCAGAATCGGTCACAATGGCGTCGGTGTATACACTCCCTGTCTTCCCTTAAACTAAGAGATTAAAAGCGCTTCATATCTTTCTTTCTACGAACCAATTCTTTCTTCTTGTACTATATCTCTATATGCAATCTTTCTCTTATATATTACCACCTTTTACCTAACCACTGTTATGAATCCGGTGTTCATCTTGTTGCGCTGATGCGGTATGGCAACCTGGACTGATGCACATATGTGCCTGGTCCTACGTTGTAGCTGACTGACTGACTGCTAAATATCAACGAAGGAAAACACAAACCTACGAAGAGTATTTTTTAAAATGGTTTCATTTTTAGGATCAAATGTGGTATAGTACCTGTCTTACCGGTACGTCTGTTTACGGTTAATTTTGTCGACGCCTTCTATTAACTTATTCAATAGAAAGTGTTATTCGAACAGTAACAATTTGTCTATTTCTTTGTATTATTTTTATTATCATGTTTATATAATCAGGTATGCTTGATAACACGTGATGGCGTACGCACATAACTCTCTCCTAATTAGTTAAATATCGCTCAATGAAACATTCGTTTTCCCAAACATATATATGTGTGCGTGAGTCGTATTAACTGATTCGACTCTGTATTCTCTTGGTCGCGTGCACTAGCCCTTCTGCTCAAATTCGCTTGATGTGCTTGTAGCTTTGTTATCTGCGCTATCCCATAACAATAAACTGTAGTCGGCGCCTTGTGTCACCTTCTGAATTTACACACCGTTGATATTTATTTAATAACGGTTATCAGAGTGATTGATAAATGAAGCCTATGGAGTTATCTCGAAGCCAAGTCACTCTGTAATAACAAAACTATTGCAAAGTTTTGTGCAGATAATTCTGTACGGGATACAAAAAAAATACAGTATTTGATGTTTATTATCAATCCAGATTGCTAACTTACAGTATCTAGTGAATTGGTATCCAGACAAGCGAAACGAACAATCAGTCAGGCACACAGATACACATAAGCCCAAATCGTCACTACATATCAGCACAGTGAGACGAAATCAACAAGACCAACAACAAAAGAGTATAATAGTAGTAATACCAATGATACTAAGAGATATTAGATATCAGAAATTATGGTTCGAAAAGTGAAAAATTAGAGGAAGATAAAAAAAGAAGTGACCAGGTACTTTTCGGACTACACCTTTCAGACTAGGGATACCTCTGGATGAGTATAGGTAAGGTCTATAGAAGTGACTTAGCAACACATAACTGTTTTCTGTGATACTTAATCATATCTTCTATCTATAACAAATAGTTTAGGACAACTTAACATGTTATAGACCTAAATATATCTCAGATATTGTCAACTATAGCGAGGTATTTGTTCCGACGAAATGATAATAATATATAAACTTACAGATAAAATTTTCACCGAAGTATCTCCCAAAACCAAATGGAGAACAGTATTACCATCCTCATCTTTTTCAGTTGCCTTGATATTATCCATAGTTACTAAAGACTGAACTGTCTCTTCATCATTCTCTTTGATTGCGACTCGTAGTGGAGTTAGACCAGAAAGAGGATCATATTCATTTAAAAGACTGAAATGCGAAATTGATTGGCTGACAAGATTCCATAAACCTACCCCTTTACTGACTCGCTTAAGAAAACCTCACGCCAAGACATCGCTGCAGCTACATGAGCAGCTGACCAGCCACACTGGTTTCGACAGTGCGCAGTTATTTTCTCCAAATATGTGCGATCAATGGATAAATTCATGTTCATACAGGCTAAATGCAGAGGATCCAAAACTTCTATGTATCTTAAAAATACAGCGACGCCTGCTTCTTGTTCGCCTTGAAATCTAAATAAACTAGACAAATTTAAGAGTGAATAACATTTTTAATAAATGAAAGTAGATAAACACCTGTAAGCATAGACAGTCTCTCCATTGACTGGAATGCCAACTGATCCAGGTAAGTAAACCATATCAAAATGATTTGCCACTTTGTAGAAATAATAAATTGACTTTTGTTGTAGTAACTGTTCACAACTAGGGATAATTTTTAAGTATATGAATATTTAAAATGAACTCACTTTTCATATTCAGATTCGTATTGGCTTAAAGTATAAGGTGTTACTTTATTAGGGGAAATAGACGAAACAGCTGTTTTGACAAAATTACTAACATATTTTCCGAATGAAGTCATAATTTTCGAGTCAGAAGACCAATCATATACCACTTATCTATGACTAGAGTATGGTACAGCTTCTGTTTTCATCAAAAAAATACTGACAACAAAAAACAGGAAAATAGACAAGGATTAGTGAACAACCGCAGTGGAAGTAATGGAAAATAAGACACAAGTAATATGTATGTCGTTTTGACAATTATAGTAAGCAGTTATAAGACTTTTACGGGAACAAATAACCAAAAATGTGACAAAGAATCAGAAGAACACGATAAATTAATCCAGAAACGAAGTGACAAAATGCATGTGTTTGTATATTATCAGAATCTTTTAGCAAGCGCAAGGATTAATGACACTACATAGTTATAATACAGACACCAAGCACCTAAATACAACTTGAGAGGAAGTCAATATTTACTTAGGATGAACGATTTTAACACTAACTTATACATTATGAATTTTGTCTATGAACTTTCAATGCATTTTTCACCATAATTGGTTTATTGAGAACTACTATGTTCATAAACTGTAGCTATCTTAGTCGATGTTCAACTGGTTATCCCAAATGTATTTTAAAATCTACTGTAGCCATCGTTGACGACTTTTTGCTCTAGATAGCGGAGCGAAGTGAATGGGAGTAGTACCGTTCACTGTATTTATTAGTAGGAGTGAAGAAATATCACACCACCGCCCGATATCAGATAGCTAGGACTGACAAATAAACTGAAATCCAAAACTGTATGCTATCTATTAGAATTTAAATACGTGAATGGACCAGATACGGTTACAAAATATCAAGTAAAAATTGTACCAAGATTTGAAATTTTCGGAAGATCATGAAGATGGACGAGGATCAGAGTACATGAAAGAAAATGAATACACTGCTTCACCTACAAACTATGATGTGGCAAAGGCAACAACTACTCCATCTTTTTCAAAAATGCATTGACAGAAAATGCTTTAAAACAGGTAGCCCGTTTGACTAAAATAGTATGTGTACATAACGAGATAAACTCGTGTTTTACACATATATAAAAAAGAAAATGGAGGGTAAGCGAGCAATAAGTTGGAGTACATCCTGAAAATTGTTAGTTAACAAGTAAAAACAAAAATCACAGTACTACGTTAAAGTAACTGGTAATATCGTTTCCGAAAAACGATACTATGAGAACCATGTATCGAGTGACGAAACCATTCGTCCATTCAGAACTCGGTATTACTGTCTTGAAAAGTGAAGCAGTGCTCTTACTACACGTAAACAGATACATGAAGTTACTAGATACGCTTCCAATGTAAAGATTAAAGGCATCAGTTCTCTGTGCCAAGGGTAATGGAGTGGCGTTTAAATGTCTTATTACTGTAAGGTTGAAGTGTGCAGAGGCATGCGAACTCCCTAATTCAAGAAATTACAGTAGATACATAATTATACGGGGTTCTATTTTAGGTACGACCGACTAGGAATGACTTCATGAGTTTGAGGAAAATTTGTTAGATACTTAGGAATGGATTTAGTATTTTCTATACACAAAGATCATGTTGAATCGCATACTTGAAATAAAAGGCGCTAATAAGGTCCATCAAATCTGGGGAAAAGAGGACTTTCATGATATTGGATCTAACTACTCATCGCTGAATGCTCTCAGGAGGTAAACCAAGGCTACGGAATCACGTTAACTTCAGCCGATATTTACTAAGTTGCTAAGGCTACCACATGTATGCATAGCAGATGTGTTTTTTTACTGATTTCACAATGTACACAACTATTCTAATTGAATACCTGAGCGAAAATAAGAAACTATGAAAATTTGTATTCTACTGATCAAAAGAATAAGCATTGACTATATTCTTCGGCAGAAACTATTAGCATTAGGGCAAAATTTACCTACGTAGATAAAAGAAGAGGTCTATACACTAGAATCCCAATACACTATACATTAAACGACGACATCTCTTTGATTTATATATTTTTTGGGGAGAAAAACATGTTCTGACACAGAACAATGCGAAGGCTGGAAATATTTACCGGGAAACGCACCCTGCATAACCTATGAACACATCAAATATTATTTTACTTCAATACAGGATTATTGTACGCAAATTATCACACTAATATTTAACCCGAGATCAAAACAACAGTTTACACAACAGATGTTTCAAATGGTTTACACAGACCTAATCTAGTTCACAGATGTAAACTAAACGAAAAGAAAGTGACAGAGACTTTTCGTGTGTATTATTGCACGTACTCTTTCTTTACGAGGCCAGTAATACCAGACAGTAAACCAATTTACAGGTAATATTTTGAGTGGAGCGCATTGATTAAGACTAAGGTTATTAACGAACCATTGACTTATTACAACAACGGCATTTCTGAGAAACTCATATGAAAAGTTAAAAGTAGACGACGAAGCGTTTCACGTCTAGACACAGAGGAACATACAAAGTTGAATGAGTGAGGAGGAGTGTGAAACAGGAGAACATAAAAAAGTTGAGTCGAAGACCCAGCAAGCGCACATAGCACACTTACACCTACTACGGAAAGTGACTAACAACACTAAAAAACAACACAGTTCTCATATTAAGACAATCTGGAGATCAAAACCAGAAGCCAATAGTTTTATTTAAGTCATCTGTAAGATTTGCTAATGATGATAGTAGCAACGATCGTTGTCAGGATGTTAAGTAAATTCTTTCTACAGAGCACGATATGGAATACAATAGCCTTACTTTCCCAAAGCGATTAGTTTCATACGTAGTTCCATTCCTTCTAATCACACAACCTTCACAGCTGAAAATATGATAACCGAGAAAATGCATATTTAACATTAACACGAAGTTAAGGTCAACAATGGAGTAGGTGGGAAGTATTAATTCGATTCAATCGCACGGCGTGGCTCAGCCTCGCAAACGTGGTCATTCTATATAACTAGTCTTTATTGACATTAAATATATTCTCATCGTCATCATAAATGTCTTCTTCACAAGTACTAAGTACCATACTGTTAATTGTTACGGTACGATAAGTCAGTGTTGACAATAATCTGACTTCCACGTAGGATCTTATAGATTCGGTAGCTACATCACGAAAAACCTATGCTTTAAGGGCTAGGTCTATTTCTTTTAGTAGTACTAATTACAAAGTAGACCATAATTCTACACGTACACTAAACGAAGGACAAAATGACGTGACGTATTTGCTTTATTATTCAGATCAGATTGAGGTTTGCATATTGAGAACAGAAGGCCTACGGTCTGTGCTATTCCTTCTATTGTAAGCTTCTGATTATCTAGTCTCCTTTTGAATGAGCCAATTGAAGGGGTATATATCAATTCTTCAGATAACAGTTTCCAAGTATTGATGATTTGGCGTGAAAGCCTGATCGCCACATGTATTTTGTTAGTTCTTGTCTTTTTTGCTCGCTCGGTATGTCCGTCGAGTTGCTCAAATCTGTTGGGAGAAGAAATGCCGGATATATCACGTTCAAAATTATTTCTTAATATCCTATACATCACCATCAGAAAACTCCTAAAGTTTCGGCAGGACAGAATCATTGTCTAGCTTCTCATGCTGCTCTTAACTGCGACCGTGTGTTTAAATCGTGGTCACATTGTTACCTAAAAATCGTTGTGTTACTGGATTGTGGCATACGACACTTCTACCATTCACCTATTATCCGCAATGTGAATGAACATGCTTGATCGAGTTGGTGTGTATCGCCCATTTTTTAGAGCCTCTGATCCAATTATCTAAGTTCACCTAAAGTCTATATCCATCTACATATATGTTATTTTTCCCAAGATATTTATTTAATCAGTTAATAGTGACATCAGAGACTTAACCTTACTTGTGCGTTTGTGATGACTTAGGTTTGAAGATTCCATAGGTATTTGGAGTTTGACAACGCTTTAACCAGCAATACCTTCTAATATGAAGCTTACCCACCAAATGAAATCAGAAGACAGAATTGAAGAGGTTTGAAGATATATTTGACAGGCTATCAATATATCGTGGATGGAATGATCTAGAGTGGCTAGCGATTGCAGGTGATTTTGAGTGCAGCGTCCCTATTCGTGATGAATGACAGAGCACCTTCAGCTAGCTGAGTTCATTAAAACATGTGATCAGCATCCAATGTTGAAGACTTACAGAGCTATTTATTTTGGGGATTTATTACATCTGCAATCGTTTCCACTTATTCAGGTTCCTAAGAAGTTGTAATAGCGATAAGAAAACTCAGGGATTTTTATGGCCATGTAAAAATCAAAACGTAAACAATTCGAAGGGTAAAGAATAATTGCCTAAAGAAAAGTACAGTGTATTGAGGTCTGTTTTGTTTAAGTTTATCGAATTGACTCAGTAATCCCTTGCATGTACACAGTGGCGGCATAAAGTATTTTTTCTACTATTTTGCTTGTCCAATGGTTTATATTTTGTCTAAGCTGCTATAATGTCTTTCACACATAGTTCAAAATTCTTCTCTCCAGCATATCACCGTATTTATATCTCTAGTACTAGTGGCCAAAAATAACAATTCAGCCTTTGATCAGGAGTTGAAAAGTAAACATTTCTGTGTGTATTTAGACGAAAAGTAGGCAATTCAGCAACATTTGAAACAGCGACATAAAAGGAAAAAAACAGACATTTTGGCACGCTTCTCCTTCATTTCCCTTTTGTTCGCGCTCTATTTAAAAGGACAGTGGTATTGTTTCTCGTTGAGTTAATTAACTGTTTTGATCGTAAATTACGCATCGGAACTACAGTTTACACTTTAATTGCATCTACCCCAGTTAAAGTGATAGTATATTGAGTGTTTCGGTTTTGCTTTTGTATATGTATTGCATCGAAGCATTCTTGGTCGACTTTTACTTGATTTATTTAGTGAAGGTTTGAGAATCCTTTTACATATCCTGTTTTTGTCACTGTTCTAGTTGATTTTCAAGATGGCTAGATCTGCTCATAAATTTGGACAACCATATTGCTTATTTCCCGTGGAGGAAGGTATGCGATGTGATGAGTGTAATAAGTGGTTCCATAAGATGTGCATCCGATTAAGCCGCACTGCATATAAAAGGTGCTCAAAGCCCAACTCTCATTGGCTTTGTAGTTTTTGTTGCTCAAGCAAAACATTGCTTATCCAGGAAGCAATTAGTCTCCGGGTGTTGGCTAATAAGAAGGTTGATGTGGGCTGTATTTGGCAACATTGGTACTGATGGCGAAGATTGCCTTAGTGTCGTAAATGCTGTCACGGCGCAAGCCAGACATCCAACTGTGCAACCCGCTATTAAACCGTCTACCCCGAAACAATCAATGAGTGGCACCTCATTAGATGTTGGTGGCCATATTGCTGCAGCAGCAACCGGTGACCCAGATAAAACAATTACTTTCCCGAGTGCGTCTAATGTGGATGCTACGACTGATGGAATATAAATGACACGGAAACGCAGAAGAATAGGAAAGACAGCTAAAACTAATGACCGTTTACTTGATAAGTCCTTGGTGCACTCTCAGACCACTCCGCCAAAGTCCCATAGTAAAGCTTCGTCTAACATTGTGCGTCACTCGCTCGACTTCCAGGACTCAGTTACAATAAAAACTAATCGTAAGATACCAGGAGTTAAAATACAGGATCTAACGTCATGGTCAAAAGCTGTGAACACAGTTCCAAAAGAAGCTAAACCGCTCCCTAGTTTAATTATTTGGAATCTAGAGGAGTCGAAAGACAACGACCCTGCTAGAAGACGTGCACATGACCTGCAGTTAGTGGAGTCTATGGTAAGGAATGTACTACCTGAAGAGGTTTCAGGGGTACATATTACAAAAGTAATACGACTTGGTAAATGGGTTGGAGGCGAGACCCAACCAAGAAGAATCCTGAAGCTGGTTCTCGGGAGTTTTGAAGAAAGAGACATATCATTGAAAAACGCACCAAGAACTCGTGACTCAAATATCCGTATTCGACCAGATTGGCCGCTTGAGGATCGAATCAAGTGAAAGAATGCTCTTACGGAGTTGAAACTCGCAAATTAAATGGCGAAAATAACCTTACCATTAAGGGTTTTCGGGTAGTCAGGTCTTGGAAGCCAATACTTCCGAGGCCTGTATGGATAGAACGATTGATTGCAAAAACACCTTAAGTGTGTGCTACACGAACGCTCAGAGTCTTAGAAATAAAACGTCCGAGATAATTCTGATGGTGGAAGAATTATGTCCCGACATAATCGTTGTTACAGAAACTTGGTTCACCGTAGATATAGACTGTTCTCCTTTCATTGCAGGTCATATCTGTATCAGAAGTGATAGAGTTTCAAGTCGCAAGGGAGGAGGTATAATATTATACGTTAGGGATCACTTTCGTATACAATCAACCATATCGGAGGCACATATCAGTGTCACATGTGAGGTTGCATGTTGTAAGATTAAATCTAGAAATGGGTTAGTGACTATAGGGGGAAAATACCGTAGTCCATTTTGTCTTGCTGACGACTTTATCCTAAGACACATCTGTTCTTGGAGTATGGCAGAATGTTGTCTCATCATTGGGGACTTCAACGCACCGCAGATCAACTGGATAGAGCTTACAGCTCCAAGTAGTGCTTTCGATAGCGACCTTTTATCTACCGTTATTCAGTGTGCACTTGTACAATGCATCACAAAACCGACACATATTGATTCGCAATATGGTCCGTCACTTCTGGACCTCGCCCTCACTCACCACTATGAGGATGTCTTTGATATTCAGCACCTTCCCCCACTAGTTAACAATGATCACGTTATAATTCACTTTAAGCTTAGGACACATGATATACAATTCGTATCTGCTCCACCCCGTTCCAATATCTGGCGAGCCAATATTCCGAAAATCAGAAACTGCTATCTCGACTGATTGGTTGGCCGACGCGGATGGATTGATTGAGGATGAATGGAATAAGTTTAAGGTTACATTCGAATCCGTAACGTCGCCGTTTATCCCATGGTCAGCACGCAAGCTATCACATTGCCCTCCATGGATTAATAAGAAAACCCGAAAGCTGTTAAAGCGTAGGAAACATTTCTGGGACTTATTCTTGTTGACAGGTCATGCACCATTTAAGCGTGAGTATCAAAAATTCCGTAATATCTGTAAGAAAACCATAGACAAATCCCGTATCACTTACGAACGACAGTTAGTATATGATAGCCATACTTGTCCGAAACGATTGTTTTCGTATGTTAAACGCGAATGAAACGTAGTGGGGTATTCCCCGTTACTGTTACACGAAAATTCAGATTTACTAGCTGAATCAGATCGAGCAAAAGCCGAGACTTTTTCAGACTTTAGAGAAGTCTTCTCTACGTTTATTGTAACAAATACTTGTCCCACTCACACCGAGATACCAACCATTGAATCTGTACAGGTGACTGTGGAAACTGTCCTTCCGTTGATAACTAACCTCAAACGGTAAGGTACCGGCCCTGACGGGTTACATCCACGGTTGCTGTTATCTCTTGCGGACATTATTTCAAAACCGCTCGCGATACTCTTCAACATGTCTGTTTCACTCGCTGAACTCCCTAGAGATTGGAAAAGACGTATAGTCAGTCCTATATTTAAGGACGGTCAAAGAGAGATAGTATCTAACTACCGGCCTGTCAGTCTAACTAGCATAGTCGTTAAGTTACTTGAAAGATAATTCGGGTTAGGTTGCTAAGCCACATGGATTACACAATCTGTTAGCTCATGAGCAACCCGGATTTCGTAACAAGCGTTCATGCTTGACTAACTTATTGCGAGGGAGGATTGGACAACAGCCTAGATAACGTCTGTCTGTCGTGTGATATTCCTAATTTTAGCAAAGCATTTGACAAGGTTTCACACGTAGGTCTTATGCAGAAGGCTCACGAGCTTCGGAA